TAGTTAGAGTAAGAGTATGTTATAATAATATAATTATTATTTGTAAGATAACTATCTAACTTATATAAAATTTGTGTAATGCCATCAAATAAAATTATTGAACTGTATCTGTAAGTGTTTAATTTAATTTAATTTTTTATCAATTTCAGTGATATATAATTGAACTTGGTATACTTGCTAATTTATTATCAACTATTAATATTCGAGTCGATTTCAATTAAGCAAATTTAAAGTTCAGTTTAGAAATCCACGAATTGAGTAAAAGGCCATGAATATATATGCATGAGTTTTTAGCACGAAACATTGAAAGAAAAAATTCATGTTTTTCACACGTTTAATTTGAGTGAAAATCCATGACTTTTTAAACAGTTCGAAGTGGAAAATATTAATATTTTGAAAGTTTAATTTGAAATTAGCTACTAATATGTTGAAATTATTGTATTATACAATGTTAATAAAGTTATTGTAATTATAATATCTTTTAATTGATATTTCATGTTTTTAATTAGCTATATACTTTAGTTAATATGAGCACTGATTGTCTTTGCAATTTTACTTAGAATTATTTAATGGCTCAAAGACTAATTATTTATTTCGACAATTCTGTGACAAACAGATTAATTAAATAGTTCAATTTAATTAATAAGTATAACTAGTGTTTGTTAGTTTTACTTAACTAAGAAAATATATTTTTTTATGTATTTTTTTAACTTTAATAAATATGAGCAATTTATTAATTTAATTACTTTATTATTTATTACTTCATTATAAAGGCTAAGATTGTGTTTGCAATTTTGCTCATAATTAAATTAATTATTGGCACAAAAACTTATTTCAACTGCTCTATTGCAATTAGATAAATTATAAGTAATAAATTAATAAGTATAACTAGTGTTTGTTAGTTTTACTTAACTAAGAAAAATATATTTTTTATGTATTTTTTAACTTTAATAAATATGAGCAATTTATTAATTTATTACTTTATTATTTTATTACTTCATTATAAAGGCTAAGATTGTGTTTGCAATTTTGCTCATAATTAAATTAATTATTTGCACAAAGACTTATTGCAACTGCTCTGTTGCAATTATATCAATTAATCAGTGTATTTTAATTAATATGTATAAGAAGCATCAGTTAGTTTTACTTAACTTAGAAAAAATATTTCCTTAGATCTTACTATTTTTTTCTTTTCTTATATACCGTGTAACTTTAAGAAAAATGAGCACTTTAATTAATTTAGATTGCATAATAATTAGTTCATATTAATTAATACCTATAACTTATATTAATTATTTTTGCTTCTAAACTTATAAAAAAAAATGTATCTTAAAGACTTAGAAATTTTTTCTTTTTATCTGTTATAACTTTTTTTTAATTTAATTTAACATATTTATTACCTTATTTAAATCCCGCGTGGTAAGGGATTTTTTTAACCCCCAGGTTTGGCGGTTACCTAACCATAGAATCCTGGTTTAAGGTAACCAGGACCCCGAACGTCAGGTAACCGGAATTCGGTGAACCCTGACGCACGGGTTTGGGGTCGAATTAGCTACCCTACAATTTTACAATTAACCCTCTTACCTCGACATTTTATTTTTTACCTTACCTGCGTCTCGAACCTGCTACCATATCCTTCCAATCTTCTATCCCATTCACTCCTCTTAGCCCGCTACTCCATGCTGATCACACCGAAACACCGCCACAAACTGGCTTATGTAGACTCGATATAGATAAGCCATAAAATAATTCAACCGGCGACGATTTAACAAGTCAAAAGCACAAAAAAAAGCCGAGTTTGCCACCGGTGTGTGGCGCGTAACGGTTAGCGTGATGGCTTTGTACCGCAAAGGTAACGAGTTCGATCCCAGGATCGGACGGGAAAAAAAGTTCGTCGTGTTGGCCGGTATACCATGCAAGCGTGCCGGACGGACGTTACGTTGATGTAATTAAGAAAAGCTCCGTGTAGGTGAAGGGGTGAATGAAGAAAAACCTTCCCTGCCTCGGGCACCCTCCCCAGGCATTGCGACCTGGCGGAGGGTGCCCTAGCGGATTTCTTCACTTTATTTACTTAACTAGACGGCGGGGGGTCGGGAGGCCCCCCCAAGCGGGGCGAGACCACCCAGCAAGCCATCAATCAACCAAGCCAGCCAGCCAGCCAGCCAGCCAGAACCCGTTACAAGCCAACGCAGCGCGCGCGCGCGTGCGTGTACGCGCGTGTAGCGTGCACGTGACGGGTGCGCACGCGTACCTAGGGGTACAGTATATACATTCTTAAAAATGTACTAGTACGCGTTGCTACGCAACGCGTACTAGTACATTTTTAAGAATGACATTCTTAAATAAGTACGCGTTGCGTAGCAACGCGTACTTTTTAAAAATTAACTAGTACGCGTTGCTACGCAACGCGTACTAGTACATTTTTAAAAATGACATTCTTAAATAAGTACGCGTTGCGTAGCAACGCGTACTTATTTAAAAATGTCATTCTTAAGAATGTATATACTGTACCCCTAGGTACGCGCGCGCACCCGCACGTGCACGCACACGCGCGTACACGCACGCGCGCGCGCGCGTGGCGTTGAATTCGGGGGCTGGCTGGCTGGCTTGGTTCTTGATTGACCGGTTTCGCGCCCGCGTGGGGGGGCCTCCCGACCCCCCGCCGTCTAGTTAAGTAAATAAAGTGAAGAAATCCGCTAGGGCACCCTCCGCCAGGTCGCAATGCCTGGGGAGGGTGCCCGAGGCAGGGAAGGTTTTCTTCATTCACCCCTTCACCTACACGGAGCTTTTCTTAATTACATCAACGTAACGTCCGGCACGCTTGCATGGTATACCGGCCAACACGACGAACTTTTTTTCCCGTCCGATCCTGGGATCGAACTCGTTACCTTTGCGGTACAAAGCCATCACGCTAACCGTTACGCCACACAACCGGTGGCAAACTCGGCTTTTTTTTGTGCTTTTGACTTGTTAAATCGTCGCCGGTTGAATTATTTTATGGCTTATCTATATCGAGTCTACATAAGCCAGTTGTGCGGTGGCGGTTTGTGATCAGCATGAGTAGCGGGCTAAGAGGAGTGAATGGGATAGAAGATTGGAAGGATATGGTAGCAGGTTCGAGACGCAGGTAAGGTAAAAAATAAAATGTCGAGGTAAGAGGGTTAATTGTAAAATTGTAGGGTAGCTAATTCGACCCCAAACCCGTGCGTCAGGGTTCACCGAATTCCGGTTACCTGACGTTCGGGGTCCTGGTTACCTTAAACCAGGATTCTATGGTTAGGTAACCGCCAAACCTGGGGGTTAAAAAAATCCCTTACCACGCGGGATTTAAATAAGGTAATAAATATGTTAAATTAAATTAAAAAAAGTTATAACAGATAAAAAGAAAAAATTTCTAAGTCTTTAAGATACATTTTTTTTTATAAGTTTAGAAGCAAAAATAATTAATATAAGTTATAGGTATTAATTAATATGAACTAATTATTATGCAATCTAAATTAATTAAAGTGCTCATTTTTCTTAAAGTTACACGGTATATAAGAAAAGAAAAAAATAGTAAGATCTAAGGAAATATTTTTTCTAAGTTAAGTAAAACTAACTGATGCTTCTTATACATATTAATTAAAATACACTGATTAATTGATATAATTGCAACAGAGCAGTTGCAATAAGTCTTTGTGCAAATAATTAATTTAATTATGAGCAAAATTGCAAACACAATCTTAGCCTTTATAATGAAGTAATAAAATAATAAAGTAAGTAAATTAATAAATTGCTCATATTTATTAAAGTTAAAAAAATACATAAAAAAATATATTTTTCTTAGTTAAGTAAAACTAACAAACACTAGTTATACTTATTAATTTATTACTTATAATTTATCTAATTGCAATAGAGCAGTTGAAATAAGTTTTTGTGCAAATAATTAATTTAATTATGAGCAAAATTGCAAACACAATCTTAGCCTTTATAATGAAGTAATAAAATAATAAAGTAATTAAATTAATAAATTGCTCATATTTATTAAAGTTAAAAAAATACATAAAAAAATATATTTTTCTTAGTTAAGTAAAACTAACAAACACTAGTTATACTTATTAATTAAATTGAACTATTTAATTAATCTGTTTGTCACAGAATTGTCGAAATAAATAATTAGTCTTTGAGCCATTAAATAATTCTAAGTAAAATTGCAAAGACAATCAGTGCTCATATTAACTAAAGTATATAGCTAATTAAAAACATGAAATATCAATTAAAAGATATTATAATTACAATAACTTTATTAACATTGTATAATACAATAATTTCAACATATTAGTAGCTAATTTCAAATTAAACTTTCAAAATATTAATATTTTCCACTTCGAACTGTTTAAAAAGTCATGGATTTTCACTCAAATTAAACGTGTGAAAAACATGAATTTTTTCTTTCAATGTTTCGTGCTAAAAACTCATGCATATATATTCATGGCCTTTTACTCAATTCGTGGATTTCTAAACTGAACTTTAAATTTGCTTAATTGAAATCGACTCGAATATTAATAGTTGATAATAAATTAGCAAGTATACACAAGTTCAATTATATATCACTGAAATTGATAAAAATTAAATTAAATTAAACACTTACAGATACAGTTCAATAATTTTATTTGATGGCATTACACAAATTTATATATAAGTTAGATAGTTATCTTACAAATAATAATTATATTATTATAACATACTCTTACTCTAACTACAATAGAACAGCATTTATAATTAATAATTTTTACTTATTACAAAGATTAATTACAATTGCTATTATTATAAACATTATTATTATTAATTATGATTACTACTATTATATAAACATGTTATGCATATATAGCAGAATCTTGACAATTAATTGACTTGGGACAGCATGATCAATCGAACCATCATCCTGGTGCATACGCAGCAGACAGTCAGCAGCAAAAACCACTTGTAGATTGTTTTTGGAAATGAGTGTTCCACCCCATTCATCCATGATAAAGTTTCGGATCAGCACTAGTCGAATTAGCAACTGGATATAACCTGTAAGAAAGATTTATTAATATTGTAATAAAACAATATAGTACAATAATTATAATACTATAAACTAAATATAAAACTATTTGAACAAAACATTAGTCAACAATTTACATGAATACAACAAATCAAGGGGCGAGAAACCATAGGAGGGCAAATGCAGGGGCTTAAGGGACCAGGGTAAAAGTACAAGTGCAGAGACACCAGGGTAAAAGTACAAGTGCAGAGACACCAGGGTAAAAGTACAAGTGCAGAGACACCAGGGTAAAAGTACAAGTGCAGGGACACCAGGGTAAAAGTACAAGTGCAGAGACACCAGGGTAAAAGTACAAGTGCAGAGACACCAGGGTAAAAGTACAAGTGCAGAGACACCAGGGTAAAAGTACAAGTGCAGAGACACCAGGGTAAAAGTACAAGTGCAGAGACACCAGGGTAAAAGTACAAGTACAGAGACACCAGGGTAAAAGTACAAGTGCAGAGACACCAGGGTAAAAGTACAAGTGCAGAGACACCAGGGTAAAAGTACAAGTGCAGGGACACCAGGGTAAAAGTACAAGTACAGAGACACCAGGGTAAAAGTACAAGTACAGAGACACCAGGGTAAAAGTACAAGTGCAGAGACACCAGGGTAAAAGTACAAGTGCAGAGACACCAGGGTAAAAGTACAAGTGCAGGGACACCAGGGTAAAAGTACAAGTGCAGTGACACCAGGGTAAAAGTACAAGTGCAGAGACACCAGGGTAAAAGTACAAGTGCAGGGACACCAGGGTAAAAGTACAAGTGCAGGGACACCAGGGTAAAAGTACAAGTGCAGAGACACCAGGGTAAAAGTACAAGTGCAGAGACACCAGGGTAAAAGTACAAGTGCAGAGACACCAGGGTAAAAGTACAAGTGCAGAGACACCAGGGTAAAAGTACAAGTGCAGAGACACCAGGGTAAAAGTACAAGTGCAGAGACACCAGGGTAAAAGTACAAGTGCAGAGACACCAGGGTAAAAGTACAAGTGCAGAGACACCAGGGTAAAAGTACAAGTGCAGAGACACCAGGGTAAAAGCACAGAGGCACCAGGGGCTTTACGAGTACAAGACCAGGGGCTTTACAAGTACAAGACCAGGCCGCAGGCTATTCGAGCAAGATGAGACCAAAATCCAAGACGTTCAAGTAAAGTGAGACCAGAGTGCAAATCATTCAGAAGACCCCTAAAGTTTCGTCAAATAAGCCTATAAAACTAAAATTATTTAACATAATTCTTAAGTATATATATCAAGTATAAAAATATTTTAATACTTATATTTCTGTGCCCAACGAATGTTTCAATGTCTAAACTGCTGTATCCGCAATCTTCACAATAGAGCCAATCGGTTGCCAATCAGTCTACTTTGTCTTGATCTATCACAACTGACGGACGACATTCTTCTATTACACCTATGATATCAAAATAATTCAAAATATTTATATAATTTAAGTAACATATTATAAGTAACATATTATAAGCATTAATGAAAATTCAAACAACAATTTGAATTAATAAAACAATGTATTTATTGAATAATTAGATGAATATAACATAAGTATCCAAGTCATAACCCTTGATTGAACGCAGCAAGTATTTTCTCTACGAACACCATTGAGTTAATGTTGTTTCTGACAGCAAGATATGTCCAATGCAGGCAGGTGTGTAAGTTGAGGGCAATCCTGAAGCGATCATTGCTTACCCTGTGAACAAAAGCATTTAATTAGTAATAATTCAGACTACTATAATACATTACAAAAATGTAACTCACCGAGTGTTTTCTTATGAGCCGTTTCACTAAGTCTTCTTAAGTAAAGTGCAACAAGTGGTTTTTATTGTAACTGATCAAACTACGTTATTAAAATGTTAGTATTGTTATTGAGTTAGTAAGACTACTGGCAAGAACATGCATGCAAGACTAAACAGTTACAAAAAGAACCACTTGTGCTTAAGAATTAGTGTTCCAAAACCCAAGCAGTTGATTGTCGACTGATCTTTCATGAGCGCTTACAGTCTGATTAGAGTCGATGAGAGCTGGTGGTTCGGTGGTGCAGGAGAATTGAATCTGAAATAAAAAAAAACTAGCTGTAAGTGGAATTCTGTCTTGAGGCATTTATGGCATCGTGCCTTAAGGCAAATTGCTGGAACTTCCCGTACCGAAATGTTCGAGGAATACTGAATGTTTTCAAATAGATTATTATAAATATTGTAACATTGTCTAATATTTATGAGAATTATATAAACTGAATTGCAGAGTTGAAAATATTTGTAAAGTATATTAGAACTATAGCCAGAATTAAAAATAAAATCTGAAATATTTTGAAAAACTAAAAAAAAAAAAAAAAAAAAAAAAAAAAAAAAAAAAAAAAAAAAAAAATTGAACAAAATTTTTTTTTCCAAAATCAATTTTTTGTTAAGACAAGCAGAAGTTTTGAATCATTTAAATGGACGCTTAGTTCTCTCAAAAACTGCCATTTTTACATATTTAGCTCCATATCTTCGATGGAATGGCTGGGCCCTTTGCCAAAAACTAATAAGCACTTCTCCCAATCATTACTAATTGAATGCTTTTTAGATCATTCAAATCAGATACTCCGTTCTCTCAAAAATTCGATTTCTATTTTCTGCACTCTTTGCTCCGTATCTCCGAAACGGCTGGACCTGCCTTTGCCAAAAACTAATCAGCTCTTTTCCCTATCAATGGGAATCGAATGTTTTTTGAACCATTCAAATCGGTTGATCCGTGCGCCCTAAAACGTGACTGGAAATTTGTATCCATACATACATACACACACACACACACACACACACACACACACACACACACACACACATCCATTTTTTCTGAGGTATGCCAAAACGTTCAAAAACCTTCAAAACGTCGAGAAATGTTAAAATTTTCAATTCCGATTTTCGGCCCATTACAATAACTTACCCTACGGGAAGTTAACAAAAGATTAGAATGCATCTTTTAAAATGTTTGATAAAGGATACAGACTGCCTGATAGATACTCGATGAGTGCTTACTGTTTGATGGATTGAAGGCGATGAGAGCTGGTGGTTCGGTGGTGCAGGAGAATTGAATCTGAAATAAAAAAACAAAAGATTAGAATGCATCTTTTAAAATGTTTGATAAAGGATACAGACTGCCTGATAGACACTCGATGGATTGAAGGCGATGAGGGCTGGTGGTTCGGTGGTGCAGGAGAATTGAATCTGAAATAAAAAAAAACAAAAGATTAGAATGCATCTTTTAAAATGTTTGATAAAGGATACAGACTGCCTGATAGATACTCGATAAGTGCTTACACTGTTTGATAGATTGAAGACGATGAGGGCTGGTGGTTCGGTGGTGCAGGAGAATTGAATCTGAAATAAAAAAAACAAAAGATTAGAATGCATCTTTTAAAATGTTTGATAAAGGATACAGACTGCCTGATAGACACTCGATGGATTGAAGGCGATGAGGGCTGGTGGTTCGGTGGTGTAGGAGAATTGAATCTGAAATAAAAAAAAACAAAAGATTAGAATGCATCTTTTAAAATGTTTGATAAAGGATACAGACTGCCTGATAGATACTCGATGAGTGCTTACTGTTTGATGGATTGAAGGCGATGAGAGCTGGTGGTTCGGTGGTGCAGGAGAATTGAATCTGAAATAAAAAAAACAAAAGATTAGAATGCATCTTTTAAAATGTTTGATAAAGGATACAGACTGCCTGATAGATACTCGATGAGTGCTTACTGTTTGATGGATTGAAGGCGATGAGAGCTGGTGGTTCGGTGGTGCAGGAGAATTGAATCTGAAATAAAAAAAACAAAAGATTAGAATGCATCTTTTAAAATGTTTGATAAAGGATACAGACTGCCTGATAGATACTCGATGGATTGAAGGCGATGAGGGCTGGTGGTTCGGTGGTGCAGGAGAATTGAATCTGAAATAAAAAAAACAAAAGATTAGAATGCATCTTTTAAAATGTTTGATAAAGGATACAGACTGCCTGATAGATACTCGATGAGTGCTTACTGTTTGATGGATTGAAGGCGATGAGAGCTGGTGGTTCGGTGGTGCAGGAGAATTGAATCTGAAATAGAAAAACATAAGATTAGAATGCATCTTTTAAAATGTTTGATAAAGGATACAGACTGCCTGATAGACACTCGATGGATTGAAGGCGATGAGGGCTGGTGGTTCGGTGGTGCAGGAGAATTGAATCTGAAATAAAAAAAACAAAAGATTAGAATGCATCTTTTAAAATGTTTGATAAAGGATACAGACTGCCTGATAGATACTCGATAAGTGCTTACACTGTTTGATAGATTGAAGACGATGAGGGCTGGTGGTTCGGTGGTGCAGGAGAATTGAATCTGAAATAAAAAAAACAAAAGATTAGAATGCATCTTTTAAAATGTTTGATAAAGGATACAGACTGCCTGATAGACACTCGATGGATTGAAGACGATGAGGGCTGGTGGTTCGGTGGTGCAGGAGAATTGAATCTGAAATAAAAAAAACAAAAGATTAGAATGCATCTTTTAAAATGTTTGATAAAGGATACAGACTGCCTGATAGACACTCGATGGATTGAAGACGATGAGGGCTGGTGGTTCGGTGGTGCAGGAGAATTGAATCTGAAATAAAAAAAACAAAAGATTAGAATGCATCTTTTAAAATGTTTGATAAAGGATACAGACTGCCTGATAGACACTCGATGGATTGAAGACGATGAGGGCTGGTGGTTCGGTGGTGCAGGAGAATTGAATCTGAAATAAAAAAAACAAAAGATTAGAATGCATCTTTTAAAATGTTTGGTAAAGGATACAGACTGCCTGATAGATACTCGATAAGTGCTTACTGTTTGATAGATTGAAGACGATGAGAGGGCTGGTGGTTCGGTGGTGCAGGAGAATTGAATCTGGAATAAAAAAAACAAAAGATTAGAATGCATCTTTTAAAATGTTTGATAAAATATACAGACTGTCTGATAGATACTCGGTAAGTGCTTACTGTTTGATGAATTGAAGGCGATGAGGGTTGGTGATTCAGTGGTGCAGGAGAAGTGAATCTGAAATAAAAAAACAAGATTAGAATACATCTTTTAATGATTGATAAATAACACATACTGCTGAAGTAGTTGAAGTTATCTGTCGGTGAAAATTAAATATATAAATCCCAGATTCAAGCTGTTTCATGGGTTGATAACTTTTAGTGCTCACACTTTGTCCATTGATTTCCAAGAATGCCCTAAAAGTGATGAAAAAAAGTTAGTGCATCAATGTAACAACTTATAAGAATAATAATAAATTGGCGCAATGCTATATGGATTGCAAACGGCAGCAGTTGTTTATAATAGACAATAGTTTAAAAATTATATAATTAAGTAATACATAATGTCGAATGATTCAGATTATTACATTTTTATTTAATAGTGGATTATTGTGTTAGTGTGTCAGTCTAAACTAAAACTACGAATGCTACCTACATGCATTGCTACCACCCCAAACTACTATATTATCATGCAAGTAATTATCTGAATCACGGGATTACATAATGAATAATTTATTAACAAGGTAGAGTTGAAACAATATTGAATACTATATCGCAGGAGTTTATATCTGTAAAATAGATACAATTGCGTTAAACTACGTATGCCGTTCACAATCTACTGTCGCCGTTACAAATTGTTAAAAGAAATTGCGCAAAATTAAAATACAATGCAAGCAAACGCGAATGAATGAGAACCCGACAATGATTTGTTTAATTTTGCTCGCGTTTTCATGTCACTTGTACTTCCCTGGGTCCTCTCCCTTGGTCCTGGAGGTCCTGTTGCATTGCTGTCCATCACATAAATGAGCGAGTTGACAACCGCGTAGACTTAGTTTGCCATAAAGTCGCCGGCGGAGCCACTTCACATAGCTTAAAAAATGACATGGTTAGACACTTATCAATTTAAATAATTGACATTACATTTATTTTTTGATTAAAATAAAAAAATATAAATGAACATAGATAAATGTATAAACAAATAATTTATATGAAAAATCAACGAATGAGCAAAATTGAAAAAAATAAACTAGAGCATAAATAAGCTTAAATGAATAAATAATTGATATGAAAAGTATATAAATAAACAAAATAATTAAAACAATAGATAAATGTATAAATCAATAATTTTAGAAACAGGCTAGTGATTCATGGCGTTTGTGCTTTAAGGCAAATTGCTGGAACTGACTCCAATAAAATATTCAAGTATTATCAAATATTTTCAAATAGATTGTTTTAAATACTGTCAATTTCATTTTTCTTATTTTATAGACGACGACGTTGATATATGCTTACATTAAAAGTGAATTTCAAACAGAGTTAGATTAAAAGACTTTATCTCATATTTCTAAGAATTAATCAACTGAATTGCAGAGTTAAAATAATTGTTTTGAAGTATAAGTAAACTTTAGAATGTGAATTAGAATTAAAATTAAAATGCGAATGATTATTGATACTCAACTAAACATTTGGAAATTAAAAAACACTTGAAATTAAAAAAAAAATCAAAAGCTTTGTTCTCTCAAAAAGTATAATTTTTTTCAAATAGGACAAAAAATTGTATGCACAAACAAAACACATACACATCGATTATTTATAAAGTTTGGCAAAAACTTCAGAAACTTTTGAAACGCGAAGATATGCAAAAATTATCATTTTCGATTTTTGGACGATTACTATAACGTAGAAAAACTACAGAAAGTTGATAACATATCAAATTTGTAAGTAAAAAAATTAAAAATAATAAGTAAAAAAATATCAATTAATTCCATGAATAAATAAAAAATTAGCTAAATAAGTAAACATGAAAACAAAAAATTGAACTATTTGTAAGGGGTATGTGTATTTTGCCTTAAAGCACATTACATGAACTTTACGATATGTGTAAACAATCTAATTGAGAAATAAATTTTAGTGATTTATTAGTATTTCAAGTGGATTTATTACACATTATTGAAAATCTTTTTCCATATGTGGCCTCATTCAATTCAAAATGGCTTGAAACTTCGAGAAAACAAAAATAGCAAATCAGATTTTTTGATAAAAACAAACTTCCCCTTCAGAAAGTTCAATATATAAAAAAAATTAAAATAAAATAAAAAATATAAATAAATTCTTAATGAATCAAATATCAAAATAATAAGATATATAAATAAATAAGCAAATGATAAAATAAATTACATACCTTGAAGTCTCAAAGCGTATTCCATTTAATAAATAGGCCTTTCCAGGAAAGGCTTTTTTGATCCCTCACAGCAGATATCCTGTCTTTTGGGTTGCCATCCTTAATTGGGGTTCGATAAGATAACAGAATTCTCATTCCAGAGTCGACTCATTGTTATAATGCAATTACTTCATTCTTGTTGTCGACAGCTTTCATTTTATAGCAGAGCTGAAATATAAAAGGTAAAATTAAGTTTTCATTACTCTTTTTATGTCTATCTAAAATTAAATATTGCACGTATCTTTGACATTATTACAGTAATTCTTTGTTATAAAAGATAAAAGTATTTGCAGTGTTCACATGACATAGCCTCGATGCATTTTGCCTAGGAAACTTTAAATCTGGGTCCATCGTAGCAGCAGTCAACAATAATATGTAACATGATTATGATAGATAATACTTTGTCTTAAAGTAAAATATTTGTAACAGAATTTTCTTTTCATCAAGGGGATTATATAAATATTCAGAGGCTTTTATAATTGAAACAGAAAACTGTTAATGAAATAGGTTAAAATGTATAATTATTGTGTACCTAAATCTTTTAAATTTTCAATACAAGACATTACACGTCTTTATTTCATCGTGATGGTGACATTCAATTGTGCAAAAGTACTTTGTTTTCACAATCATTAAATTAAAATTAATGCATCTGCTTCATTTAAGTACAATATCTTTTGTATAAAAAGAATTGATATTAGCATTAAAGAAAGAATTTATATTAGCATTACAAAATCTTTCTAAATTATGAAAAGAAGAAATATTGAAATCCTTCAATCAAGTAAAATCACATTATGCTCGAACCTGATTTTTTTGGGTCAAAATTTTTATCACGAGCCAGGATCGTTAAAGCAAATAAACTTTATAATTGCTAGCAATGGAGATAGAATTCCAATTGATGCGATATACGTTAATATAGAAAACACAACAAAAACTGAAAAACGACCACTTGTATCAAAGCAATATTATCAATGGTTCTTGGCTGCATTCTTAAACTGCATGAAAACACTAGATATTCATCTATGATCGCAAGATTTGGCGCGTCATTTTTCTTGTCAATGTGTTACAAACCAAACTAATCTCAAAATCAAATCAAAATCTGTCAATACGTAATGATGAGTATTCGTAGCACCTTTGAAAAAGATCAAGTAAAAACACTTAACTTCAAAATCAAATCAAAATCTGTCAATACGTAGTGATGAGTCACGTCACTTCGAGTATTCGTAGCACCCTTGAAAAAAATCAAGTAAAAACACCTGAATAAGCTTCGAATCCACAAATAATTTTCAAACCCGTCACGTAAAATCACTAATGCAATTATATACTCGGCCAGAAACAGCCTTCGTATAATATTTGACGCGCCATTTTTCTTGTCAATGTGTTACAAACCAAACTAACCTCAAAATCAAATCAAAATCTGTCAGTATGTAGTGAAGAGTATTCGTAGCACCCTTGAAAAAGATCAAGTAAAAACACCTGCATAAGCTTCGAATCCACAAATAATTCTCAAACCCGTCACGTAAAATCACTAATGCAAAAATATACTCGGCCAGACACAGTCTTCGTATAAGATTTGACGCGCCATTTTTCTTCACAATGTGTTAAAAATCAAACTAACCTCAATCAAAATCTGTCAAAATGTAGTGATGAGTATTCGTAGCACCCTTGGGAAAAATCAAGTAAACACCTACATAAGCTTCGAATCCACAAATAATTTTCAAACCCGTCACGTAAAATCACTAATGCAATTATATACTCGGCCAGAAACAGACTTCGTATAATATTTGACGCGCCATTTTTCTTGTCAATGTGTTACAAACCAAACTAACCTCAAAATCAAATCAAAATCTGTCAGTATGTAGTGAAGAGTATTCGTAGCACCCTTGAAAAAGATCAAGTAAAAACACCTGCATAAGCTTCGAATCCACAAATAATTCTCAAATCCGTCACGTAAAATCACTAATGCAATTATATACTCGGCCAGACACAGCCTTCGTGTAAGATTTGACGCGCCATTTTTCTTCACAATGTGTTAAAAATCAAACTCTGTCAATTTGTAGTGATGAATATTCGTAGCACCCTTGGGATAGATCAAGTAAAAACACCTGCATAAATTTCGAATCCACAAATAATTTTCAAACCCGTCACGTAAAATCATTAATGCAAAAATACACTCGGCCAGACACAGCCTTTTACTTTGACATGGCACAATGGCAAAATAAAATGATTAACATGTGGAAAATGCACTTACTCGTTACTTGAGCGTCCACTGGCTTCCTATTACTAGAGTTTCCTCTGGATTCCCAAGATCTTCTTCCCGCGATGGCTGAGATTAAAAAGAATTGTGCAATGACGCCCGGCGACCAAGAAACCTTGCGTTTGCCATTGTTCGGTGAAGTGTCATCCGGTCGCCTGACACGTGTCATCAGGGTAGACAACAAAGAAGACAGGAATATCGAGACAATATGTCCAACCTGTCTCAAATATCGATTGTGGTCACTTCCGGCGATGATTTTGAATTCTACTAAGACATTTTAACGAATTTAGACAATGATAATTTTTATATATATATATATATAAATTATTATTATTTTGCAGCCCAATTAAAAAATAGTCGTCTAATCGTCGAATTAAAAAAGAGGGTTAATATAGAAAACTTGATATTGCTCTGTACCTATTCTGTACCATTGCTTAATCAACATATTTTCAAATTGGAGCATTATCTTCTCTTTAATTTTGTCATTTTATTAATTATTCATTAGTTATGATGTTCTTTTACACAATTTTAGTGTTTTTAATAAATGTTATGTTCGTTTTTCATGGTTTGATGACACACATTAAGTGTGGAAACGTTTAATAAACATTTTTTATATTTGCCCTCTTTTTTAATTGGACAATTGGGCTGCAAAATATTTCAAATATATATTATATTGCAATTTTCTGATCGAGGCATCGAGTATCTTGACATATTGACAGAGAGAATACAAAAATAGTTAATTATAAATGTATAAACAAATCATTTCACAATAAAAGAATAATGTAATAATCCCATAAAATAACGGATTTGAAAAATTAAATTTATATTAGAACGTTAAGCAGATTCACAATATATATATTATATATATATATATATATATATATATATATATATTTAATGTTGACATGTGTATTAATGAAGTCTAGGAATCGGGCATAACATCAATAAAAAAAAAGACCATTTTAAAAACCACCATATATATATATATATATATATATATATATATATATATATACATATATATGTTAAAATTTTTATAATTTTGATGTTGAGATATGTGAGAATTAAGTCTTCAAGGCAATACATCAATTAAAAACTTGTATGATTTTAAAACATTTTTATTTTTTCCATACGTTTCGACACATAGTTTTGTGTCATCTTCAGTGGACTCTATTTTGAATTAATTAAAACTAATATATAAGAGGTGAAATGGTATGAACTTATATGTAATTGTAATAATCCTAATTATTTCCTAATTATAATTGTTCACAATGCACAATGAAACCAATTCTTGTCACTTTAAATTGAACAATATATATATTTTAGAATGAGTTATTTTATGAATTTGTAAAATACATCCCGCTATTCTGTATTCCGATGCAAGAGTGAAGCCTAAATGTGCACAAATGTGCATACCACGTGTTAGAAGCTAGGTACCGAGCACATGAAGTCCACACATGAAGGTACCGAGTCCACTGAAGATGACACAAAACTATGTGTCGAAACGTATGGAAAAAATAAAAATTTTCTAAAATCATACAAGTTTTTAATTGATGTATTGCCTTGAAGACTTAATTCTCATACATATATATATAATTCTGAATTTAACGTTGACATATGTATTAACGAAGTCTAGAAATCGGGCACAACATCAATAAAAAAAAATACATGTCTTCAACCAGATTAAGAACAACACATATATTACTACACACTATCTATTTGTGATTTTTTAAGTTAGTATTTTGTGAAATATTGTTTAATCACAAGTTTAATGTTTATATTACATAGTGTAGTGCATGCATTATCATATCCGAATACTATGTGTTATTTGAATATTCTAATTTAACGCAAATTGTAAGTACTTTGTAATCTTTATATATATATTTTTTCCTTTCATTCCTAGTCAATTGTTTTAGTTTCCACTGAATGAAGGCTAGGATTATAGCCAAAACGTATGGACGTAAAATAAATTTTTGGTAGATATTACTAGACTTTGTTACTGTACATATATATCTTGACGTAAAAATTTCAAAATCTATGTGTAAAATAAATCATACTTTCAAGTACAAATGTAAAACAATCAATAAAAAGTATGTAATTTTAAATACAGACATCAATTTTTTTTAAACGGGTTCAAAGATATTTGTTTATTATTTTACATGAATTTGATCATTAAAATTATTTTTCAGATATTTGATGTTTGCATTTATTTACATGGAATATACAAATAAATCTATTTGATATCTTTATATGCTTTTACTTCAACAGTTAGAAATCTAATTTTCAATACACTTAATACGTTATATATAAATATATATATGTATATATGATATATAAATAGATACATGTATATATGATATATAAATACATATCAATTATTATAGCAGTTGCATCGATTTTTATCTTTCAGTATAAAACCAATGCCATTTAATTAATTAAGAAAAAACTTAGCGATAACAGTTAGCACTAAATCAAATCAAAGGGCATTTTCAAAATTCTTTATGCTTTTAAAAAAATCTAATGTTTTATTTCGTTTCATCAAAAACTATCATAGACTATTCACATGAAATATTCTATGAAATAAGATAATAATTGACTTTAAAATATAAACCATTATAAAACATTAATATATTACTATCAGTATTGATTAATTGCAATTATATTATTATTTCACCTCTGGAATAATTAATTTGAGACACAAGCTGACCTCTTATTTCGTTTTGTATGAAGCCAAGCCAAAGTAGTAGCCTGTGAGTCATCCAAACTTCGTATAGCAGCTGTTTTGAAAACTTGCGCAGAACTGAAAACTAAAATATTTGAAACTACAAAATCTTAAATTCGTTGGTACATTCATCAATTGCATTTCTATTTTATTATACCTAGGTGAATTTCCACTGTTACATATATTAGTTAGTGTACTTAAGTACGTTTTTTTCATGAAGATTTACAAAGGCTACCATAAATACTCAAAGAAACAAAAATAAATCCTACTGGACGATAAATACATCCTAGATAAGTTGCTTCTCCTGAAAATTTAGATAATTTTTATTTATGTAAAGTCTGATCTTTAAATTCAAATTATATATATAATAAAATGTATTATATATATATATATATATGTATACATATTTTTAAAAACGATAAAAATTTCAAATATGGTACAAAAATTCATCAATCTTATAAATTTTTAAAATTTAGAAAATAATGAAAAACTTTTTATATAAAATATTCATGTTCAACTTTTATAAATTTGTAGAAATGTAATGAAAAAAAACGTATTTTAAAATATTTATACACTTACGTATTTCTTAACTCAACTTAAGCACTTTAAAAAAATTTCATAAGTTCCAAAATTTTTAAATAAAACTTTTATCTAATAAAATTATGGACTACCATTAAAAACCTGAGATTGAAATTTTTGAATTACTTATAATGATCATGGACAATATTTATTAAATTTTAAGATATATAAAATAATATAAAGTATGTTAGAATACATAACAATAGCATTTCAATTTAATGAAATACATTTCATTTGAGTCGACATGAATGTCAGAAATCTATTGTATGGATTAAAAACTTAACCAAAGAATGATTTATATATGTATGTACATAAAGGGATAGACCACTTTATCAATTCCCAACCCTACACAATTCTTAACACCCTCAAACATGTCATCGAATTGAGCTGAAAATTTAAAACCAGAATGATAAAACTTATTTTACCTTAATATGAACCTGAAATATCATGTTGTATCAATTTGTATATTTAGTCATCTCTCATAATTCAAACTTGTTGAAGTTCAAACAATGTAGACGATACAATCCTGTTTTTAAATGACTGATTCCATATGAATAATGAATGATGTTATTAGTGGCAAGTGATTTCTACAAAAAAAAAAAAAAAAGATGCTGAATGATGAAATGTTTTAAAAAAAAGCAAAATGCAAAAATTACTTCGATATTTTATTTAAAATAATTGTTACATTTGATAGTTTATTAAATGTCTACAGCTCCAGAGAATAGTTAAGTAGTGCCCCGGATCTGTAAAAAAAAAAATCAATATTTAAGAATTTATTTAAAACTTAACTTTAATTTTTTATTATGCAAGTTTATCAGAAAAGTATGTCACCAGCAATTAGTAAGACAGGGATAACTTAGAATCATCATATAATAAAATATTAAAAAAAAAATCATTAAATATAAAATTTTTAGGCACTATTTAAATGCTACTAATTGAATACATACTGAAATATATATTAACATACTATAAGCGGGTAGTCATACTGATATACAACTTTTAATGAATAATCTTTTGTAAATTAAACCATTAAGTTTTAACAGTTTAATTGGAAAGATATATTATGCAACACTAATTTAACAAAAAAAAAGTACAATAGAGTTGAATATAAAAGTGGCTTAAAATTTCAACATTGAAGCATTAATAATAATACTTTGACTAGATTTCAGTAAATCTTAATCATTACAAATGTAAATTAAAATGTTCAAGGTGATAATTAAGGATCAAGGAAAAGTAGAAAATGTTCAAAATCTATATAATGTTCCAAGGCTATCTTCGCGTTGACAATTATTTTCCAATTATCCTACCCCTAAATCTAATTCTCTTAAATTCGCCAATTTTACTTATGTCATCTATCTTTAATTTAATTAATAATGAAATAGATATTCACAACACTTTACCTAATCAAATAATCTGCACAAGTTAACCTTTTTATTTTCTTTTCAAATATCTCATTGTTTTCTTATTCTGTTTATAAATAATATTGTTACATTCTGCATTATATGTAATTTTTTGTTAAGTATTTTATGTTACTAACTATATATTGTAATTTTGTATATATTTTAATTGTTATGTAAAATAATTGTATTTTTGAGTCCTCTTGGAGAAATCTGTGGGCTATATAAATTAAATAAATAAAATAAATAAATAATGCAATTTTCTAAAAAAATACTAAAGTCTGCATTTCAAGTATCCAATTGTAAATATTAGTACTCTTTACTATTATAAAACTACTAAATAACAACACACAATTGAGTTGAACACAAACTAACAATCTGATTTTAAAGTTAATGATAGTAAAACATTTTTTACCCGCCCTGCCTATAGTGTGTTAATGTAGAATTTGGTTGAAAGTAAAATTTAGTTTGAATGACAAAACAAAAAATTACCTTGACACGACTTCAATCTTCTTGTAGAAATCCATCAAATTACAAAGCACCTGAAAAATAAAAATATATTATACAATTTGAAAAAAAAAATTATAACAATGCAAATAAATATTGAAGTGATCAGAAAAGTAATTCTCCATGAGTTTGTAAGACAGGGATAACTAAAAATCATCATTGTAATAATATCAAGACTAAAATGCAATCCTTAATAAAAAAAAGGATTTTTTTTAACAAATACAAATGTATTTTATTCTTCATTGCTCACCTCATTTTGTTTTAGAAGACAAATGTACTGCGGGTGCAATAACAAATACACTGTAGATTGCTTTGTACATCTGTAAAAAAAAAAAAAAATTAGTTTTGCGTTTGATAAAGTAAATCTATATCTATACAACTAGTATTAATTTCAGTAAAACCGTAAAATCATTATCTTCATACTGGGGCGGTAGGTTTATCATCATAAAAGATCATTAAAATTTTATTTAAATAAAAAATAACACACAAGTTTAAATTTGATAAAAAAATTACCTGGATATGACGACTTCAATCTTGCCAGTGATTGATCAAAAATCATGGAGCACCTGCAAAATAAAAATAAATGTTAAAATTTCAACTAATATGTCTAGCAATTTAATTATTAAATATTGAAATCGTCAGAAAAGTAGTTCACCATGAATTTGTAAGACAGGGATAACTATAAATCATCATTGTAGTAAAATAAATTGATATGCTTAAAATTCTTAAATGAAATTTAATTTGTTACATAAATTCATTAAATTGTGTAGTTTCATTTTTTTTAAATGTAAATACCATAAAGTATAATTATGTAAATGAAGTAATGAAAAACATTCAATGTAATGATATTGTCGAAGAAAAATTTTTGTGCGTGAAACATTTTTTGCAATTTTATGTTAAAGAGTAATATTAAGGCATTTTATAAGTTAATTATTAGAGTGATATAAAAAAATATGGTTATAAATATAAAATCAGTATGGTTAGAAATATGATTGAAATAAATTTAAAAAAAAATATAAAATTGCTGTGATACAATGCTTTTTCATTTTTGCCGAGGACTTAAATGAATTTTTTGTTATCAAAATAGAAGCAAAATCTTTTCAATAAAATCGTTTTTATATAATCTATACTTTGTATTGTTAAAAATATTAATATACCTTTTACTCTATCGAAATTTACCAAAAATAAGTATCAACACAAGTAAATTCTATGTGACCAAAAAAAATTACCTGATTATGTCTTCAATCTTATCAATCAATCCTACAAATCATGAAGTCAACTGAAATAAAAAAAATCTGTTAATATTTGAATATTAAAATATATAACAAAATTAAATATAAAAGTGGTGTCAGAAAAGTAGTTCACCATGAATTTGTAAGACAGGGATAACTATAAATCATCATAGTAATAATCATAAAAGTAAATTGTAGTGCTTGAAGTTTTTAAGTAAAATTGATTTTTTTAAATAAATTAATCAAAATTGAAATATTTTTATATTAAATAAATATTTGTGCAATTACATTGAGTTAATGAAATTTAAATTTATATTTTGTAGTGCTTTGAACAATAAATCCAAAACAAAGTAAATATGAATATATTTTTTATTCATGCTAGTGTGACAAAAAAATGTGATTTTAATAATAAAAAGTAAAAAATGGTTTCCAGTTCAAATATTTAAGTTTTTTTTCCAAAATTAAAAGGTAATATTATGAAAAAATAAGAATACCTCACCTAATGTTGTTCTGAAAGATGCACCAAATTCAATTCAAGTGTCTGCTACCTATAAAGAAAAGGGTATTTAGTACTATGCAAAAATTAATAAATTATTTGTATACAGAAAAAAATTCAGTGAAACCGTAAAATCACTACCTTCATACTGGGGCGGTAGGTTTATCATCATTGAATTGAATTATAAACAAAGATTAAATTATATATTATATATAATTTAATAAGAGTTAAAAAAAAATTCTATAAATATGTTAAAGACTGTAACATGTCCACCTATAGGTAAATTTTAAATAAAAAAAAAAAAAGATATAAATTGTAAGAGTTTTATATGAAAAAAAAAAACAATATAAAATTAAAATCAAGATTTAACATTAATTTAAAAAAAAAATGCTTACCAATATCAAAAAATTGTTTATGCAGCAGAGCTGCTAGCATTTTAACTTCCAGCATTATTTTATAGATAACATCTTTTCTTGACATGGAGTTTATTCAGACATTCCTGAAAATAAATTGATTACATTAGTTTAATTTGATATTTTTGAAATTTATAATATATCTAAATATTATGTATATGTAGTGATTAAATGTACCAACAACTTTCGGCACTCCATTGTAACAGTAAAAGTCACTATGAAGTTTCCTAGCGTGGGTTAATATTCCCAATAATAATTTAAATTCGGCACTAAAAAGTTAATTATAAACATTTTAGCGTGGCAATTGGGACAAGAATAGTAACAGATCTATTGAAAGAAAAATCCAAATATTAAATGAATATAGATAAAATAAATTATGAATATGAATTAGGAATAATAATAAATTAATAAAATGGATTGTGTAAATTTTTTTTTTATAAAGAACTCAAATTTAAATATAAATTCTGAATGTAATAGTGTACTATTGAGTGTAATATTGAATTTGGTGAAAAGGAACTTAAAAATATTGAATTATAAAAATGAACACACAAAGTTGTACAAAAAAATTAGGTTATAAATAATATAATACCTTTTTCTGGTTTGGATCGCTCTCATATGCATATAAAGCTTTTATTTAAATTCTGGACATCTGCAAAAGAAATGAATTTAATATATTTGTGCAAGTAAAACAATTGCTAATTACTATACTATATTTTAAATTGATGTTACTAAATTATTATCTTTGACTTTCACATTGTAGTTTCTAATATTGTAACTCATAACAAATAAATTTAATTAATCATAAAACAGTATGTAAATAAAATAATTATAATAAAATAAATTTCAATCCATAAAACAAAGAAATGTTTAAATATTCATGTTGTCTATAAAACATGGTAAACTAACTTATAACAAAATAAAATTAAATTTAAAAAACATAAGGTAAAGAAAAGAATTATATAAAAACACAGATTTTGATCTGTAGAACAAAAACATGTTTAAATCATAATACAAAATTTTAAGTAACAAAACATGAATTTGTAAAATAACCTATAAACCATAAAACAAATTGTAATTAATTAATATTAAAATTAATAATTATCTTTTACTGTTTCCATAACTTTCGGCACTCCAATAAGACATAAAACATCATTACGAAGTTTCCTAGCAGGAAATTATTATACCCAAAGATAAACTAATGTTGGCACTGTCGAGTTAATGAATAACAAGCAGCGTGGCAATTGGGATAAACATAAAAAAATTGAGGTTAATTACCTTTTTGCAAGCCCTAAAGAATTCTCAATATAATACTTTGTATTCCTCTTGCTCATACAACGTTTGATCTGTAATTTAAAATAATTATAATTAGCTATGAACAAATATTGTAAATTTAACCAGGTTTGTTTATAAGTTCAGTTGAACCGTATAATCAAAGCTGTCATACTGGGGCGGTAATGATATCATCATAGTAAGAGAATTGAGAGAAGTAAATATAAATAGTCTGGTAAATCAAATTCATAAAATACTTTAGTGAAACAGAAAAAGAGAAAATAAATTAGTTATAAAGAAGTGCTCTTCTTCTACACTATTATTAGTATTTTAATTCAAATCCAGGATATTTTTGATCCTCATTTTACAAGATGTAAAATGAACTAATGTAAAAATAAAATTGTAAATAATTACCTTTATTATTTTTTGATAGGCTGGACTCAATGGTGCTCAATTTCAGATATCCACTTGCATTTTAGGTAGATGCTGCAATAAAATATTTTGATTAGTTCAGAAATATTTAAGTTACGTGTAATTTAATTGTAGTGCAAAAAGTATTGACTCAGGTAACCGTATAATCAAGGACCTCATACTGGGGCGGTTAAAAGCTCATCATATATTTAAATTTAGTTTTAAATATTTGGTAATATTAGTATTAATTATATATTTATTATTATTACAAAACTAGGTATACAATAAAAATGTGTCTTTAAATAAAGAATATAAAACAAAGGATTTAAAATAATTACCTTGGTAGAGTAGAAGCAACTGGTAAGTCCATTTCCAGGAACCTGAAAAAGAAATTTAAATATTTAGTTTTGTTGTAATTATTCAAAATAAGCAACAAAATTGCATTTAAGATAAATGTATTTGAAATTCAGTGATGAAGATTAATAAAAGTATTGTCAAAAATAATTTGTATTTTAAAGACTTGTATATTCCAGTTTTTATTAAATGTTGTATTTAAAATTTCAATAATAATTTTTGTTACTTGTTTTTCTTTAGTTCGTAACTTACACATGTAGATGTAGTAATTTATAATAATAGTAATTGATAACAATAGTAATGTATTGCCAAATAATGAAATTAAAAGATATGTATCAAATTCAACTAATTTATATCAAATTTTATTTGTTAAATTTTAGATAATTAATATTTTATGTTCAATAAATTTTTTTAAGTATACCACTATATATAATTGCAAATGTTCAATTTGGCTAAAATATTTTTTACGCATGTGTGTAATAATAACCAATATTTTTGTACAATTGATCTTAGAAGTATCAGCAAATGTTATGCTAAAAACAAAAATTGTGATTTAATTTTTTAAATGCTTATGAACACATTTTAGTAAATAAAAATATAGAAGTGATAAATATTTTTTTTAGTAAATTAAAATGCAAATAAAATAGTGAATATTTAATTTTTTATCCATAAAGTAATGAAGATTCTAAGTTCTTATCAAGGTTTAAAAAAAAATCTTTAAATAAAAATGTAAAAAACGGTGATAAATATTTTTAAGTAAATTAAAAGGCAAAAAATATTAAAATTTTAATTTTGTATCCATAACTTTCGGCACTACAAAATGAATACAAAATCATTTTGAAGTTTCCTAGCAGGACTACTTTTTATATACCCGCTTTAAATATAAATGGCACCCTACAAAACATGTGAATTTTGTGAGCGTGGCAAACGGGATAAAAAATATAGAATTAGTGTCAAAACATTGTAAAATTTGAATTATTTTTGAATTAATTTTAAAATTACCTGCAATATATAGCATTCACTATCACAGCACCGAACAATCCACAAAATCCTTTTTTCAAATTCTGAAAGTGAAAAAAAAAAACATTTTACTTTCATATTATTTGTATCAAATGTTGAATAAAATTTAAATTTCAATGTAAATTTATAATCCTAGTAATTATTGTACTTTAATAATGTGGACAAAGATATATTTAATTTAAGAGAAAAATTCAATATTATTTGTATCATTGAATTTAAATTTGTTTAATTGAATTTAAATTTTAATATAAATTTATTATCTTTGTGAAAGATAATTTAACATCAAGGTTTAAATTGATATTGAAAATGATTTGAAGGTAATTTTTATAAAGTTAAATTAAAAAAAGGTTTGTTATGATTAATATGTTTGTATGTAATAATTAATTTTGTATCCATAACTTTCGGCACTACAAAATGCATATAAAGTCATTTTGAAGTTTCCTAGCAGGACTACATTTAATATACCCGCTTTAAATAGAAATGGCACCCTACAAAATATGTGAATTTTGTGAGCGTGGCAAACGGGATAATGTTAAAATAAATTTTGGAAATAAAATTTAAAATTACCTGTTAAGAATTCTTCATTAACTCCCAGCACTTTCTTCAGACACTTAAAAATGATTCTCCAACTTCAGATTCTAAAAATAAAATATTACTTCAATAATGATGTAGATATAAATAAAATTATAAAAATATTTAATGCAACTCAGAAAATAAATTGTCATCAAAATTTATATGACGGGAAAAGAAGACTAAAAAAATATGAATCATCATTAAAATAAAGTACTGAATAAAAGAATAATGTACTAAATAAATAAAATTAAATTAAAGGATATAAATAAACTTATAATTACCTGCAGCAAATTCAGCATTCACCACGATGACTTGCTTCAGTCTAGAGTTGACTCTTAAAAATCCAAAAAAAAAAAACTTTGTCCCAAGTTCACAAATTCTGAAAGTGAGTAAAACACATTTAAGATTAATAATCGTGCAGAAATAATTAAAATCTAATTTGTAATGTAATGCATCAGAAAATAAGTAGTCATCAAAATTTTTATGACGGGAAAAGAAGACAAAAAAATATGAATCATCATTAAAATATTATATCAAGATTAATAAAAAAAAATATATATATAAAACTCACCTAGAATTATTCGAAGTAGTGCCTTGGCAAATCAACCACAGCAAAGTACCTGTAAAATAATACAAAATTAATAGAAATTCTTGAAGCATAGACGGTACAATTTTCAAGAAGTATATATATAAAGTAAATACTATTTAAATTGTAATAGTTTATACTGTGGTATTTAAGAATATATTTATTATCACACAGAGTGATAAGTTTTATTTATTCGTATGTTATAAATGCAGTAAAACATTTATACAGTCAGAAATATAAAGCCCACATACCCCGATTCAAATTTAAATTATTTTTATCAAATCAGATTTTTTTTATGATTATGTTTTTTATTTTTTTATGGTTATTGATTTATTATTGGATATTGTTTTGTTGATTACACAGCAGAATTTTTCAGTAGATAATTTTTTTGTATTTCAAAGAATTATTACAAAAATATAAATATTGTGTAAGTGTACTAAAGAAGACATGTCCGTTAAGAAATTGATGGAAATTGTACAAGTGCTTTAATCAAGAGTTCTGCTGTATAAATCAATTTGAAGATTTATAACAATGGTTAAAGATTTTTATTTAAATTGTAATTTATTCATTAATTTTTATATTCAGAGTTCAATCACCATTTTGATATAAATTTATTGGAATAATTCAATATCAAGTTGATGTTTTAGCAATAGTTTAGAATAATGAAAAATATATGTTCATTCAAATGAACAAACATTTGTTCATTCAGGGGTCGCCAAAGTATCTAGAAATAAAAAATGGTATCAAAATTACTGTAAAACACTTGTGCTAGCTACTAATTTTGGAAGAACTAGAATTACCATTTTTTTATCAAGCTTATTGCTGAAGCTTGAACAAAATAATAAGAACAGATTTGTTTCACAAATCTGCCTAACATAATATATGGTCTTGAAAACAATGTTTTATTTCTAAATATCTCCACAGAATTTCTGTATTTATAAATATTTCCACAAATAAACGTTCCCCAGAACGTTTAATTGAAATAGTTAATCTGGCGACACCCATAAATTTTTTATTTATCATTGATAAATATCGTATCATTGATAAACCCAATTTCAATAAACATAAGATAGATATAAACGTAAACTAACGGAGTAGATTTACTCACCTCAGAACGAGAGCTAAATAGCCATATTCTCTAATCTGTATAATTGGTCGAGAGATTCAGGAGAGATCATCAAATTTCAAAATTTTCATTTCACATTTTGAATCAGACACAATTTCTGTTAGAATAGTTGTTACCATAAAATTATGCAGAATTAAAATAAAACAATTCCTCATTCTTTGTAAATAAATTATTTGTGGTAATAAATGAATTAAATCAATAATTTGAAACTAATTGAAGTTAATTGAAAATTCATAAGTCAATTTTTTTTTGTACTAACAATCTAAAACAATTTCTCACTCTATGCATATAAATTAAATATTCGTGTTTCTTGAATATAAAAATTACTGAAAAAAAAGTAAATTGAAATAAATTAATAATTTTAAACTAATTGAAGTTGATATTTGAAAATTCGTATTGTTTTTTTACTAATACAATAATTTTAACAAAATAATTTTTCACTCATTGTATACAAATCAAATATTCGTGTTTCTTGAATATAGTAATTACTGAAAAAAAAAAGAAAATTGAAGTAAATAATTTGAATCTGATTGAAAATTCGTATTGTTCCACCTCGTCAATGAGAAATTTTACAAGTGAAGATTTTTTTTGTAATAACCCAAAAATCTTGATCAAATTGAAAGTATTACAGGTAAAAAATTAATAAAATTTAACAGAATAACATTCAATAATAGTAATGTAATTGATATTTGATCAAATAAAAATGTTTTAGTTGATAAGGATAAAAAACTTGTACATTTTGATCCTAAAATTTTAGGATTTGATCAGTGCTAGAAAATTCTATCCTGTGGATTTAATTTAATTGTCTTGAACGTGATTATGAAGAATACCATCATAACCAGGATTACATCAATTATTGTATATTAATAAATCAGCTCATTGTTCACTTTGCATTTATACTGATCCACGAAAGATGTTATTTTCCTCTGAACGAAGGAAAAGTTTTTTGTATTTAAATACCTTTATTTTTTATCATAAAAATGGTATAAGAAACCTTCATGATCAGCATGAAATATTTTAAATTTTAAATATTCACCACCTTAAGACAATTTCTCAAAAATTAAGAAATCGAATTAAAATGCTAATTTTACCTCATGTGGAAGTAACCACTGAACATACTCATCTTTGGAGAAAAAAATATGTTGAGTGGTTAACTCAACCGGCATGTGTTTCCATTGATGCAGATTTGTAATATTAATTTAATATTAATGAAATCCCAATATGCAGTTTTATATGTACTATGTATAGTATGCATATAAATTTTGCATGATCCCTCATATCAGACATCATCTGATAAATGATGAGAAAAACAATCCCTTAAATGTTCACCTTATGACAGTTTCTCAAAAATTAAGAAATCGAATTAAAATGTTAATTTTACCTCATGTAAAAGTAAACCACAATATTAAGTTTATGGAAAAAAAACTATTATGTCGAGTGGTTAACTTAAGGAGGGCGATACATGTAACAAGAAAAAAAAAATCGATTTTTTTTTTCATAAATCGTTACAATAACATCTCAAAAATATGCCTGTAAATATTCAAAACAAAATTATCATTATTTATACAATAAAAACTCATTTAAGTGCCACGCCTCAACTCGACGCTTGAGTGCTATTGTACTCTTATCTTTTTCTATGTGTCAAAACTTTAAACGCGTTTTTCTCAAAACGACATTTTTGAAATTTGCGGGCGTGATAACTCAAAAAGTTCTCAAACGATTCCAATGAAATTTTGCACACATCTACTTTACAGTAATAGCTTCTAGTTAAACCTCAAACATTCCAAAAAATGTTTCAAAAATTAACCCTTTTACCAAAAAAAAACATTGAAAAAAAGGTGAAAAATCGAACTTTTTTTTTCTAAGGTGTGCCAATTTACGATTTTGTGACTTTTTTAATTTTTTTTTGGTTTAACTAGAAGATATATGTTTTATGAACACGTACAAACTAATTTTTTTAAATTCAGATCACCGTACGAAAAGTGATAACGCCCGCAAATTGATGGCGTTTTCCGAGAGGGTCTTAGCAGATTTATTTTTACGGCAGCCATTTAAAAAAAATAAATTAAAAAAAAAAAAAAAATTGTGTATTTTAATATATAATAAATAACCCTAAAAAAGTTCAAAAAGATTCAATCATTCCTTCCCAGTTTAAAAAGTCCTCAAAAAATGGTAAAAATTAAGGCGATTACATGTATCGCCCCCCCTTAATCAAGATGTGTTTTCATTGATGTATATTTCCAATATTAATGATAAAATCCCAATATTGGCCAATGTACGAGCTTACAAGCCAATAAAAAATAAATAAAAAAAATCCCAATATGCAGTTTTATATGTACTATATATAATAGTAAAAAGATCAAAATAATTCTAATCCCAAATCATTTCTAGGGATGAATTAAATAATTCGTGTAAATGTAAATGGTGAAAATTTAATCTGAATGAATTAGAAATGAAATATAAAAACCACTGTCTGATGTAGGTGTAGAAACACCTTTTTTCGCCATGTTACCATTGATCCCTTTTATAGTTTGTTGAAAATGTTATAGTACAAATAAATAACTATAACAAATAAATTGCTCTATTACAACTAAATGCTCCGAATATGACTATGACAAAAAAAGAATATACAGTCAAAGTGTTTCAGTTTCTTAAATCGAAGTTATTATACTGTATTGATAAAGAATTTCTGATGTAGGTGCAGAAACACCTCTTCGCCAAGTTACCATTGATTCCTTTTATAGTTACTTTGTTGTAAATCTAGATATAGTACGTATAAGCTGTAACAAACATACAAATTGCTATAGTATAACTAGATGTAGTAAATGCTCGGAATATGACGACGATTATAAGAATATACTGTCGAAATGTTTCAATTTCTGAAATCGAAGTTACTAAACTGTTCTAATAAGTGATAAAAAAAAATTGCTTGATTAAATCATTATCAAGTGATTTTCACTTTTAATTCCTTTCACTAGAAAGGAAAAGAAAATCTTCATGATAAGAAATTTTCATTATCAGCAATCAAATTAGAAATGGTCGTTATTAATTTAATTTCTATAAGTTAGAAATTAATTTGAATTTGTATTCAATCACTATTATATATAAAACCATAAAGCTGATTTGGAAACAACTAACGCACTTGTGATTTGTAAAAATTAATTCGAGCATTGAAAAAATCGTAAGTAATTTTCATTATCAGAAATCAAATTCGAATCAGTTAAAAATTTAATTTCAACGAATTAAAACCTAATTTGAACTTATATTCAATTATTGATTTATGAAATATGTAAAACCATAAACATGATTTGGAAAAAATTCAACGCACTTTAGAGAAGTAAATTGTAACCAAAATTAATTCGAGCATTGAAATTCAACCCTCACATGACTAAACAAAAATTTGAATTAAAAAGATACCAAAATAATAGGTCGTACATTTTATTATACTTTTATACCGCTATAAACTTAAATATATAAAAATTATCCCAAACCACACAAATACTGGGAGGTCTGGATCACATACAAAAATAATTTAAACTAAACAATATTCACAAAGAGTAAATGATTAATTATAGTATTTTATATGCACATGACAACGTCACGATCGAAATTATATAATAAAATTCATTTTTTTTTTAGATTAGACATAGCTACACAACATACAATGTTTGTCAATATAATTTTAAATAAATATTGCATCGAATTAGCCGCAATGCGACATTTTCACTCGTCATTAACAAATAGTACTAAAGAAGGTAAGTGATGCAAGGAAAGTGTGCAGCCTCTTGTAATAGATAATAGATAAATGAAGATTCGATGAGATGATTTACAATACTAGTACAGGGTATGATTATTATAATAACAGAGGAACCGGGCATACTTTCCTTGCATCTTGTGAAGAAAAGTCGCACAGGTACCTTTCCATAACATTAAACGTTCTCTTCCTCAAAGCCACCATGTCACACACATACAAAAGTTCATGAGACTTTTAATATATAAAAAACGATTACAAACGGAATTGTGATATCAAACTAGGATGAACTAAATTGGAGTATAATGGGTTTTTTTGTCTTGTCAATCCATGGGGAGTTGTTAAAGCCATCATGGTTTTGTCAACTTTGATTTTCTTAGTCGTAAAGTTAGAAACGCCTACGTTTATTTTGGAAATCGTCACGACGATCATTATTCCATGGGCCACGATTTCCTTTTCGCTGATCGTCAAATCTATTGTTGCCGCCACCACGCGGTCCTTGTTCGTATTCCATATAATTTCCGCCCATATCCTATAGAGTGCACAAAAACAAATAATACACACTGGAAGTGCAGATTCAAAGCTAAAGGCCTGGTTATTGCTTTGGCCCACATATTGATTGGTTCTGGTTCTGATTGATAATCAGATTGCTAGACACGTTCTTTTTTTTATATGCGGCTGTTGGCGCATCAATCCAGTGACACTTTGCTAACTTTGCAATGTTGGATTATGCAGTTTACGTATATATAGAATTACTATATAGATGTAAAGTATAGAGACCAAATAGACGAAGCCTGGGCACATTACACCTCATAAGGTAGAAACTATATTATCATACAATTTATGATTTCACTAAGCACACTTCACTGTACGAAGTGATTTTTTGCCGAGAGTTTAATAAAACTAATGATTCCAGATTACCTAACATTATTTTAGGACAACACTGTTCCAACGTTCATCTAATGTTTATTCCACCGAGACATAGGAAGTGTATTTTATATTGAGTGAACATCAACTCACTAGATTTTAATAGGTTAAACATTTTGAAAATGTTTTATTCGTGATATATAATTGTGATTCAGAATTTATTGTATTGCATAAGCAAGCGCAGGTTAAACATTAATATTCAAATGTTTAAATAATATTTTTAATACCTATTTTTGCTATTTAGGCGGATTTCACGTTACTATAAATGCATCGGCACATACTTAGTGTGAGAAACAAATAACCTCAAGATTGTTACTTTTATTATAAATTTTATTATTTATATTTTGAAGTACGGAATTGAGTTGAATATAGTCACAATTGATTTGAATTTTAATTTAAGTACATCCACTGAAAACCAAATTCATCTCAAAAGAATCTAAGAATTTAAATAATGAAAGTATTGAAAGAATAAAAGTACAGTAGAACCTCGATTAACCAGACTAATTGTTGTCGATAGGCATACGGATAATCAAATGTATGATAAATAATGATGTGTATGTGTACAAATACATACATATCAACGAAAATCAATGTTTAATAAGAAATTTTCTACATACAGTTCTACTGTATTTAAAGAATCAAAGTATTGGGTTCTAGACATTAAGAAAATACACTGTAAAAAGATAAAAAAAAAAGTGCAATGGCACTGTAAAATGAAATAGAGAAAGTGTACGGGTTAATAAACTGTAAGTAATAAACTATATAGACAAAAATAACGTACAGTAAAACAAAAAGAAAACTGTAAGACAGTTATTGGATAAAAAAATGATTTTCAGCAGAATACTACAGCAACAAAAACTTGCTAGGAAAGCTGCAGATGTACTGGTCCTAGATTTTGATGAAGCGTTAATGGTCAAAAAAAAAAAAAACAACTATAAAATATAGGCCTATAGGCAACTAGAGTAGTACAATTACAAAAACATAAATAAAAGTGCATACGTTTAAAACAGGGTGTTACCACCTTTTCTTTAAGAAATTGTATAAAAAAAATATAGATTGTTTAAATTACTGACAGAAAATAAATTACTGTACTAGATACAATTTATATCAATAGTCCAGAAGTATAAAAAAAAACATAGAAGTTAAAAAATCGCTAGAAGAATTGCCGAATAAAATATCCTTTTGGTTCAAATGTTTTCAAAAAACACTACTCATAATAAATAGAAGTATTTTTTAAATTCTAAAGTAATTTCAGATTACTAACAGATCTACCATTTTTTGTTTGCAAAATATGTAATTATCATAATTATTGCCATTACCATGTTATATGTTAAAAAATTTAAGTTGACTATTAACTCAAGTTTCATCAAAATCCAAAGCTTTGATCTGATAATTTCCTTACTATAATTAATATAAAATTAGGCAATGCACCAAGTTCAAGCGAATCTATATAAATTTCATATTTGCGTTAATATTTCATATTGTTGAGAAGAACTCATTTAGTAAGACCTCAATGGAATTTTATAAGAACCTTATGAAGTATAATGGCCTTAAGCAGCTGCATCATTCAGAATCTATTTTTATATAGAAATAATAATACACGTTACATTAACGTAATTCATATAAATTATTCTTTGCATATACATAGCTGAGACACCCAAGGAGGCTTTTGACATAACAGCAAGTTCAGACATTTGTTGTTGTAAAAAGATGTTTGTTCAATTTTTGCACAATATATTGAGAATATTGTTGAATTGTCCCCAGAACGAAATGTTTGAAGCTTGTTATCAAGCTTGTATTGAGAGAATATAACCCTTAAATCCATACATGTATTTATATATATACACCAACTTATATTTGGTAAACTAATTTCAGTTGATAAAGCATGTATTTCATATATTTTATGAATATAAATTAACTGTGCTAAAAACTGGGTTCAAATGTGTTTAGTATATAGTCAAATATTAAAACTAAATTAGTATAAAATACCAGTTTTCAAGAATACAGTAAGACCTCAATTGAAGCGGCTTTAGTTTCGGGTTATTTCAATTCAATGTAAAGATTTTCGAAAAGCTGAGTAAAATCAAGCTGAACAAAAACTGGTTTAGATGAAGTAACATCAGCTAGTCTTTAACAGTTAAAAGACAACTAACTGAACAAGAAAACAAAAATAGTAATAGTGGTAACTTCAAAGAATAGGTAAAAAATTTGCTATTTAGTTCATTTAAGTCTTCGACCTCTGACTGGAATCAAACCAATTGTTTGTAACGATTGAAACGTTAATTAGCTCAAAAGCAAGAGTTCAATGTTTTTAATTTAATAAAAATTGAGATTTTTAACCAAGTACCAGTTTTAGTATTAAAATATTTTATAATATAGCAACACTTAAAACATGAGCACAATATTTTAAAATGGTGAAATAATTCCAGAATATATTACTTATAAATCAAACTAATAATAAAGTCAATATGTATATGTATTTAAGAAGAATAGATATACTATTTGTTATAATAAAGGATCAATTTTGAATATCTGAAATATCAGATGTTTTACATTAAACAAAGTTATTTATGTTAAGCAAAAACGATTCAAGTATCAAGCAGCAATGATAATAACTTTAGTTATTTATTCAATATCAGATAACCTTATTAGATCATATTCAATAATCAAAGAGTTCGTTTAATACTTTTAGCATCCAGCCAATTTTGGCATAGAGCAAAATAACTTTCCCAAAATTTTCATTGTTTTAAGTAAATTTTCAAGTTTCTCCATCCAAAATATCAACCCACAATACCAGACAATATATAACTATGCCCAGAACCTAAAGTTCTGGACATAAATCAGATCATAGCTAGAAATTTTACGAAGTTCCTATCCCATCATAGCTTCATATGTATTAGGACATCAATGACCCACAAATATACTGTACATTGTATTATCAGAATAATAATTATATTCGGATAAATCTAATTCAAAGATTTTATGTTATGTCAAAATACCCCATTGGTTTCTTGAACTTAAAAATATTTAAATAAAATATGCTTCATAGACAATCAAAAATCACTTTTACTTGAATTATTATGCATTTAATAAAAAAAAATCTCAGCTAATATATGCAAAGCTTGTTGCCAATTGGTGAATTATATTTGTATAAAATTTGAGCAATATTTAAATAATTCATACAAAATAAATGTAAAAAAACTTGACAAAAATATAAATTAAAATGGCATTCAGAGAATTAAAAGCCAAAAAGCTTTTGTCAATATATTTTGTGTAGTGTGATAAAATAAATTAACTATTTAATGGAATTTCATTTAATATTTACCCCTTGCAAATCTTGATATATTTAAAAAATCAAAAAAATTATGTTTCAAATTGTACATTACTGGGCATTATATGTATACCAATTGGCAACTGTAGATAACATAGCTTGAACCAGTCTCAATTTGTTTCATTAGAAATCTAAATTTGAATTGGATATTTAAAAAATTAAAAACACTTACCGATTGCATGCCACCATTACCACCGCCACGAGGAGCTCCAGCACCTCCTGAAAAACAAGGAATAAATTAGTCTCCGTGAAAATAATCACATTTTATTATATATTTGAAGATTCATCAGTGTTTTGAAAATAAAATCAAAGTGAATCAGCAACACGGACCAAAACAAAATCATCACAATAAAATATATAAATATAAAAAACTAAGAAACTTACCATCTTCAAATTCAGCATGCGGTGAGTTGAAGCCCTGTTCTTGCTGGTCCAGCATTGAATTCAATTGCTGAGCCTAAAAAACAAAAATACAATTAGAAACATCCATGTATTTGCAAGGTGATAAATATATTGATTTTTTTAGTATATCAGTGTTTTGAGGGTAAGATCAGTGTAAATCAGTAACACGGACCAAAACAGAATCATCATTAAAAATGGTAAAAACACAAATGCAAATTATTTGTTTTTACATATGAAAAAAGATACTTGTTTTGTATAAAATGGAAAACATGTTCATATATTAATAGTTATGTTTTTTGTATAATGGTTTTTGTATTTAAAATATTAAGGTAAAAAATTGTTTATATTCAAAATAAGATACAAAAGGCATTTAGTAGTAAATTAATCATTGAATAATTTGAATTGAATGAAAGGATTAAAAAACTTATGTAGCCATAAGGAAAAAATGTGAATAAATAAATTATAATTCATAAGTTATGATGGAGTCTGTTTTAGAGGCTTCAAAAAAATCGATTTTTTGAAGGTATTTTTAGGCAAGAAAATGAAAAATAAAAATGTATTTTATATCACAAATGTAAAAAGAATATTGAACCAATGATTAAATCTGAGACTATGGTTTAGTGAGTTTAAAAAGAAAAATGCAATATTATTTCATTGATTAGACTAAAAAACAAATTATTAATAAAACATGAATGTTTTAATAAATTAAAAAATGTGAAGTATAACAAGTTTTAAAGAGTAAAATATGATTTTATGAATATAATATATGTATCAAATCTAAAATGTGAAAAAAGATTAAATTGATAATATTAAAAGGAGATCTGCTTTAAGGGCTTCAAAAATCAATTGAGATATTTTTAGGCAAGGAAATAAATAAAAATGTATTAAATATTACAAATGTAAAAAAATATTGAACCAATGATTAAGTAAATCTGGAACTTGACAAAATTCATTGGACTAAAATAAAGACAAATTATTAATAAAACCTAAATGATTTAATAAATTGACAAATGTGAAGTAAAGTTTTATGGGCAAAAATATGATTTTATGAATGTAATATATGTATATAAAGTATGTATGTTTATAAATGTATGTAAAATAAATTAAATTTGAAGTAAAATAAGGACCCCAATATAATTTTTTGAATGCAATGTGTTTATAAAAAGTCAATTTATTAATATATTTAGGTTTTATTAATAATAATTTTATTTTGGTCTAATATTGTGATATTCCATTTTTCTCTTTAAATTCACTGAATCATTGAAAACTATTTTAATCATTAGTTTAACATTTCTTTCATACAGAATATAGAATAAATTTTTATTATTCATTTCCTAGCCTAAAAATACCTCAAAATTCGATTTTTCTGAAGCCTCTACAGCAGGCCTCCCCTTAATTATAATTTTGTTTGCAGTTTAGATTTGTTTTATTACTTAAGATTTTTTAAAACCTTTCAATTCAATTCAATTGAATTATTCAATGATTAATCTAATAAATTTATTACAATGCCTTTTTGTATTGTATTTTGATAATGAACAATTTTTTTTATATAAAAAAGGATATCTTATTTCATATATAAGAATGAATAATTCATGTTGTGTAAAAAATAGTATAATGTATATAATTGTATGTAAAATAAAATATCTATATTGAAATATGAATTTCAAAAAAATTTAGCAAATATATGAACCTCATCTAAAATTTACACCAAAGGCAATTTATGCTAAAGTCATTGCAGCCTTAATGAAAATTAATAAAAAAGCAGTTATGTATATGATTTAATTATAGTTTTTATATGATTTAATTATGTTTCTAGTTTATAATTGTAAGCTAAATATTTACCTGCATAAACAAAGTATTTTCCTGCTGCCGCCTCCTCAATTCTTCCTCCTGGTGCAGCATACGAACTTGCATCTCCTCCTGCTGCCGTCTCATAATTTCCTCGTCCCTTGAGCGTTGTTCATCAGCTTGGCGCTCCTTCAATTCCCATTCGCGCTTCTGGCGATCTCTATCTTGTTCACGTAAACGCAATTCTATAGTAATAAAATTGAATTAGAAACTTCCAAAACTAAACTAATATTTTGTAAAATAAAACAAAAGTCAGTACATAAAAATATGCAGCCAATGAGTATTATCACTACAAATCAAACGGTAATTTTTATCATCATGGTAAAAAAAATTTTAAATTTATTATTATTATTATTACCTTCACGCAGCATTTCAGTCTCATGTTCATAGCGAGCAAACTCCATCTGAGCCTCAAGCTTCTCCTCCTCCATTTGCATCTCACGTTTGAGTGCTTCATTCTTTTGTTTGTACAATTCATGCAGTTGCTTCCAGCGTGTGCCATATTCGTGTTCAAATGAGCCAATATCAGCAAATCTGGGACCGGCCTGACGAGCTTTGAAGAATTCTGGATTCTTCTTCAGCATGTTCTTTTCCTGGACGCCATCGATGTCGTCGACGAAGTCGAAGGGCTCAACGATCACTGGACGGAGAGAACTGTAAAAAAAAATGAAATTAGGATAAGATTTTTGAAATTAGTTTGTGATTAAAATATAATTTGAAACAAAAAATCAGTGTTTTGAAAAGTAAAATCAGTGTGGTTCAGAAACACGGACCAAAACAATATCATCATAGAATATTTTGTACAATTGTATTGCAAGTTATGATCTTTATAAAAAAAAGATCACTAATTATTACTTACGATGTTAAGAAGAAGCATCTATCCTGGCAATGCCTAATTGCTGCCATAGCACCATTTTTCCTTTGATATTCAACAATGCCTTCACCAGTGGATTTGCCCCTTTCATCACAAGTGATGATGCAACGTTCAATCTAAAATTCAATTTAATATTCAGTTTTTGCCAATACAACACATAATATTGTGTTTTATGATTTGTTTTTTTTTCAGATACAATAAATTGCAGCCAAATAATATTTTCATTATATTCAAACGGTAATTAATTTCATCATACAAATATTTATTAGAATGTTTAATTGCAGCCAAATAGTCTGAATGAATAATTATTTACTATAAATAATATAGTATCATGTATGTTTTGACATTGCATGAGTATTATCATTCAGCAAATTAAAAGTGAAATTAAAAAAAATATATATTTGATAAAATATATTGATACTTAAAGAAAAATCAAATAAAAATATTGCTTTATAAAAAAAATATTTAAAATATATATATAAAATGAATAAATGTAGCAAATCTAATAAAAATCTAAAATTGTGAAAAATAAGTTTCAAATCAGAAATTAAAATCAATTGATAATGTTAAGTATTACTAAATATTTTTTTCTCAAATTTTAGATTTGATTACATAAATATATATTTTTAGATAAAAAGAACTATAAATTTTGAAATCATTGATAAATTTCAAAAATTTATATAATAAATTAATATATGTAGAAAAAACTTAAAACTAAAATTAAAAAAATATATAAATAAAACAAAACTTTACGATCAAAAACTGTCAATAAATTTTGAAATAATATGTAAGTTATTAATTTTAAAAATTATTGTAATAAATTCATTTATGTAAGTCAAATCCAATAAAATTTGAAATAATTAAGAAAATTAAGGTTATAATCAGAAAGTATGAAAGAAAATTGAAATAATTTTAAGTATCATAATAAGGGATATATAATAATATTACATATATATAATAAAGAATAAAGTTATGTAAAAAAATAAAGCAAGATGTGACGTAACCAATTAGAATTATTTTCGAATTCTAGATTTTTTTTGAAATTGACTATATAAATATATATATTTTGAGATAGAAAAATATAGACAAAACAAAAATTTCCAATAAAAAATTGGCAATAAATTTTGAAATAATTGATATGTGATAAATTTAAAAAAATATTATAATAAATCTAGTCAAATCTAAAAAAAATAATTTAAAATTAAAAGAAAATATAAATAAAAATAAATTTTGAAATGGTTGTCATAAATTTTAAGAAAATTTATAAAACAATCAGATCATCAGATAAAAGATAAAATTAAGTCATATGTATATAATATAATTAACAAGTTATGTAGTCAGATCTAAAATTTACGATAAATTAATAAAGAACTTAAGATCAGAAATTGGAAAAAAATAGAATTAAAAGTATGTTTAGAGATGAAATTAAAAGAATATATAAAATAAAAACATCAAATCTAAAATTTGAAAGAAATTTTAAATTCTGAAATAAATTTAAAAATCAGAAATTGGAAAAAAAATGAAACATTGTTTAAGTACTATCAAAGAAAAATTTGAATTACATAAAAATGGATTTAACATAATAATGGATTCAGCAACTTTCTAAAATCACAGTTTTTCATACAAAATAATGATTGGTATTATTAATCATAGGATTATTGTATTAATTATTGATAATGACACATACTGATAAGATCATTTGTATTAATACTATTAATATTATATAAAAATTAAGTGTTATGTAATAAAAAAAATATTAAATTATAATCTTAGAAAGTTTGCTAAAATTGTTTATCATTTTAAATTCTCTTTAAAATGAAAGGAAGAAATTGAATGATGACACACATACAATATAAAACTGTACAGAATAAATGATTGTCTTATTTAGACTATTTGTCTGCAAATAAACATGTTAAAATAAAATAAACTTTTTTTTATTATTACTCACCGGTCCAAAAATCTCAAACGCCTTATACAACAGCTCATTCGAAACCCACGGTGTGAGATTCTTGATTTTGATTGCAGTGCTGTTGGGTGCAAATCGAATCCTCAGGGGCCTTCCTTTACGAATGCTGCCATCCAATTCACGCTTTGCTTTCTCAGCATTGACTCTGTAGTCCATGCGGATAAATCCAAAGTTCTTTTCCTTGTTGATGAAATGTTCGCTGGTTTCTCCATAGGGTTTGAACATTTCAATGATTTCTTCCTCTGTAACATCGTTGGTCAAATTACCAACATAGAGTCTGCCACGGCCTGAGAATTTAACCTCTGCCATGTCTAAGGGAGGAAGATCCAGCACTGGACCGGTGAGGGTTTGCAGCTTCTGCTGGAGCATGTGTTCCTGGGGGTAAAGGATATATGAATTAGAACATGTAAAGGTCACACTTAAATTTCACATTTAAGTATTGAATAAATAATTTATTGGTTAATCCGATTTCTGGCAACATTCTAATATTTTACATTATTTCACCTTACTATCTTCAATATTTGAGCTAATTACTGTTTTTTGGGTACTAAAGAAGTAGATAGGAATGCAAAAGATGATCATTATGGAAGGAGACAAGATTGAAAATCTGTTGCAATCTAATTCTACACTTTTATTGGTAGATATAACATATAGAAGAGACCTGCATAATTCTATTAAATCTTTGAATTAATGATTATAATTGAAAATGGATAATGTACTTGTCTACGAAGTCAATAATGGTTAAAAAAGATGTTTTAGCATGTTTTGTGAATCATTTGATTTGTATGACCAGCTTTTGAAGAATAAAGAAATATATATGCAAAATACTTGTATATAGTTGAAGGTTATGTAATATAAATATAAATATTGAAACATGTAAAATCAAAAAAAAAACTAAATATGGAATGTAAGTATAAATATGGAATAAATTTATATAAAAAAAACTACTATAAGAAATGAAGAAATTATAAAATGATTGTGAAGATGACAAGTGATGTAATAATAATTTCATGTATATGAATATATAATATAAAAATTATATAATCAGTTATGTGAAAAATCTAAGGTTTGCAATAAGAAATTAGAAAAAATTATAATTTCTATGTGATCACATTTAATATTTTAAATAAAAATATACCTATAATATATAATCATTGACATAAATACAAATTAGAAATCTCTATTAGGTGCATTTTTTAATAACAAGGTGATTTCATATAATAATAAACTTATTTTAATAAACATTGCATCATATTATCAAATCTTTTATTCAAATTTTAATTCAATAAACTCAGAATAAATTTCAATATTGAAAAGTATATTTAAAATACTTGTATGGAACATAATATGAAATAAATTTAGAAAAAACAAACTACAATAATAAATGGAGAAGAAATTATGAAATGATCATAAATGTTATGATAAGTGATGTAAAATAAATTATTGTAGATAATGTTATGCAAAAAAACAACGGTTTGCAATAAAAAATTTAAAAAAATTACAATTTGTAGTATTATGTTAAGTGATAAAATCTAAAATTGGATATAAATTCTGAAAAAAAAACTACTAGTTCAAATATTAAAAAAGAGGGTGAAATTTTGAATTTCATATGATTATCTCATACAATGAACATTTTTTCATATATTAAACCGTTATTTAAGCATTATATAATATATCTTTATTATTATTTATTAATTTGTATGCATAACTTTGTTTTCTGAGTTTTTCTAATTCAATAAATTTTGTATTCAAGTATAAAAAAAAAGAATTCTTAAAATGATTGTAATTGTAATAGATAATCATTTAGCTGTATATGATGTTTATTTAAAAGATCAAAATGAGGTCATGTAATTGAAATTATTAAAGATAATAAATTATCTGTATTATACTTTACTTTATATAATAAATAACTGTTGATACTGATTCAATAAGAGAATCAGTTAAAATGAGGTCAAAAAAAATAAATTTTAAGATAATGAACTAAAATAATAAAAATTATTTCACTTCCTTTATTATAATCCTTTCGAAACAAAAACCTTGCAAAATTCACTCGACCAATATCTAACGATTGTGATTTTTATAATTTAAAGATCAAAATCAAATATTTAGTTACAAATTTTATATTTTTGAATTTTAACTATATAAATTTTAATTTTGAATAATTTTATCTTTGTCGTAATGGTAAAGCTAGGTTCTGTATTTAAACGAATAGGAATCCTAATAAAAATGGAAAATAATGCATTAAAATAAATGTGAAAAGTTTGATTGGCTTGCATACCACAAAAAACATTTAAACAATTAAATTTGTGAGTAATTTGAATTGAATTATTATAGGAGTGAAATTTTTATCAATTTTATTACAAAAATTTAAAAAGATGGCCTTTGAGACAAGCTTTCATGTAAAGGGTAAGCGAAGATTTAAAATATCAATAGAAACAAAACCAATGAATAAACTATTGAAAGACTAGAATTTTTAGTAAAATAAATTCTAATTTTGATACCCAAAAATGTGTACAACTAAAAAACATTGCAATCATAATATGTAATGTAACAAAGACAATTACTGTTAAATATATTATGTTACACATATGAATCTAGTAATTGATTCTAAAGTCAAAACATAGGTCCTTAAATTGCCATACATCATACAACAGATTCCTAAAAATCTGAATATTGTTATATGAGAATTACATAATGTAATGAACAAAAGTGTGGGAAGCAAAAAGCACACTTAAATTCAAAAAGTATAAAAAAGTGCCCTTAAATCAACATTTTTAAAATAAGAAATTAGTACTATTAAAAGTGTGCATCGAAGTAATCACTAATCACTAAATTCAAAGTTCATAGTTCAATGTATCTAAATATCCCTTATCGAGAGGAATAAAAAATGCACATTGAACAAAACCCGTGTTAAAAAATTATTGAACTAATGATTCAAATTAATTGCCTATAAAGCCAGAACCTATAAAGCAATGCGGATGCAAAAGATTAGCTATAGTTACAAAATGGCGATGGAAAACTGTTCTAATAATAAATGTGTACACGTGTGAGTTTATAATAGTATAAAAATCGATTTGCACAGCATTTTAAAATTATTAAACTAGGATTATATAATTTGAAAACGCTTACCTCTCCCCTTCGGGGTCCACCGCCTTGCATGTTATTACCCTGGCCGGGTCTATTTACACCACCTCTTTGCATGCCCCCAATTTTAATATCTTCTTTTTTAAGATCATCCAACTAAAATCAATAAAAACAATTAGAAACGTAATACATAATAAGCATAAACATTATCTAAATATAATCAAAGCACAAAATGGCGGACGTCGCCATACTCACTTTCATTTTATTCTGGCTCATATCTTGGTTTTGGTGTTGGCTTTGATGCTGATTTGGATTCTGTACATTTTGTCTGTTATTCTGGTTTCTGTTAAATAATCCTCCACGGCCCATGAATTTGTTGGGTCCCATGCCGCCGCCACGTCCACCTCTACCGCCGCCTTGGTGATGCGGGGGCCCTTGGCCGCCTGGCTTTTTGTGTTGAGGTCCATTCGATGTGATAACGGGTTCGTTCTTAATTTTATCTTCCATTGTTGCAGCCATAATATATAGATAGATAAACGATTCACGAAATGAATATATTCAAAGGTTTAAATCGACACGATGAAGCGCACTAGAACAAAACCGAAACTGAACTAACGCGGCCTACTACGACTGAATCGATGTTTTACGACGACGAGGAAGATGCCGGATGTACGAGGTGGGCATCGGAGTGAAGTTTGCAAGTAAAGCTGTCAGTACGGTCTGAAGTTTGCGCGGGAATTTTAAAATTAACATTTGAAACAAAATTATTTTGTATTTAATTTTTGGTTTATTACTTTTTATATTATATTTCTGGCTTTATATTATAACACCATAGACATTTTTTCAATTTTTATACTCCAGACTCGCTGTTTGAGATTTTTTAAATTTACACCTTAGTTTGACAGTTTGAAAGCTGTCAAACTGTCAAAGAGTGCTAATTTTAAATCATGAATTGTGTTTATTTATTTATAATTATTACAAAATTATACAAATATTATGGAATTGGCTACTGAAACGGGTAATATTATTAAATTAAAATTATTATACATATATTTAAATCTGTTATTACTCTGTAGTTATGTTCTAGAACTTAGAAATTGTTGTATGACATGATGAAAAGAAATATCAAATGCTTAAAATTATAGTCAAAACAAATGATACTGAATGTTTTTATGGTTTTTATGCTAAATAATCTATTGATGGATAACTTTATTATTTTTATTTTATATAATGAATGGAAGTCGGTGTACACTTTTTCATTCATTAGTTTACCAAGATCTAGTATATCTAAAATGAGCATACTAAATAAGGGTTATTGTGATAAGTACCCACATTTATACCTAAACAAATGTAAACATTTGTATGATAAATTTGTTCAATTGTTGACACTCTATTGAGTTATTTGTTAGTTTAACTTAAGTCTTCATTGCATCCGAAATAAAGAAAATTTAACTAAAATCCCAATTTCGAATGATAAAGTCACATATTGCACCTATTGTGAAGTTATTGAACTTGCCTTCAGGCAAAATGTTACTTTTCTGACTCAAAATGAATAATATTAAATGAATTTTAATTTCATCGAGTCTTATAACCTTTACAAAGGTTTTTATAAAGTATCTCTTTATTTTCATAGCATGATGACAGATTAAAATTGCATTGCAATATTGTACTGCCATTGAAACAACTTGTTCAACAGAATTATATGGGCAAACAACTTCAAAAGTGAGTAATTATAAATAACTATATATAAAAATGTCAAATATAGACAAAATCTGTATTAAAAACATCAATTTTTTACACATAATTGTTCTTGATGAATGAATATAATACACATTTGACACTTACGATTTGTCTGTATATATTCATTTAATTATTCATTTGCTTACTGTTAAATTGAGCCATTTTTATTATATAAAAGTATGTGTTTATAGAAATAGAGTTCTTTTAAGTGTTGAGAGTTTCGACATTCATGTTTTACTTTTATTCACAACTAGTATTTATATATTTATTTATTGTAGGTATGTTAAGAAAAAAATATATAATGAACTTCCAATCGATATTAAGATGGCCAGTGATGACTTCAAAAGGAAAATAAAGTAATATTTTAAAGTCATTGAAGGCGAAAAAGATTGAAGAGATATTTAAAGATATTTAAATATAAGGCTTATTAATGTAAAATGAAACAGACATAAATGATATGTATATATAGAATAAGAAAATTATTTCATAATCTCTTATACCAGGCTGAGGCATGATAATAATATATCAATAATATATATAATAGAATAGGAGTGAATCTGAGTGGAGTTGTCTCATAGGATTTTTCATATCCGACTTTCCTAATTCGTCCCAGCATTCCCTATTAGTACCTAATCTGTTAACATGTACAGATATTTCCTTGAGATTTTTTACTAATACAAAGATTTGGGTTGAAAGAAGTGATTTTTTCTCGTCTCACAGCCAGTTTTAGGTCTTTTCAGGTATATAATGTCTCAAAATAATGCTATTTTGTATTCTATATTCTGTATACGATAATGTTTGTCCGTAAATGAGTTCTTTCAAGGGTAAACAACCAGTTAAAAAATATTCAATATTATAACTTTTACACAATTATGATTTTATAATTGTGTAAAAGTAATAGTATGCTAATCAAACTACCTGATGTATAATTAATTCTCGAAAAGGAAATAGAATGTGAGGTATTATTATTTTGTGAAAAATATTATACACAAAGATTTGTTCTTATTTCATATAGAACGTTTATAATTTTTATATAATTTTTATATAAAAATAAACATATTCAAAGAATTCAATATTTTCTCTTCAAAATAATTACAAAATTGATTTTGATTTCCAAGTTTTTTGTCAATTTGAGATTTGTATGCATATTGAAATGCATAAAATATTAATTATTATAATAAAATGAACAAAAATAAACTATTTGTAAACTATTTCCATCGTCTTAATAAATCCTTAGATATGTTAACAACACACTAGAGGACACATTTGTATCAAGTATTATGTTTCAAAGTTGTCGGAGTTGTGGAGTTGTTAAGTGGATATAACTCCTCTCTGAAGCGGAGTCAAATCCTAACCGATCCGGCTTCGGATATGATAAGCCCATCTCTAATATATATATATATATATATATATATATATATATATAACTATGACTTATTAAACTTATCCTACATCTCACATAACATTTAATTTAATATCATCCGACTAACAAAAGTTTATCTAGTGGTTTCACTATGATAATCCCTTCGATGATCTTGTTGTATAGTATTACTTAAAAATAAAATTAATAATAATTAAATACCTAAATATTTATAAAACAAACTGCATGCATTGCAAAAAATACTTATTAAAAAATAATAATGATAATACCATAATATATAAGCACTAATTTTTATGAAACAATTGTTTAAACTATTAAGCCTTTATATTATAAAAATAATTAAAATTAACTAAATTATTAAAAATATATGAGTATATAGTGAATTAATTAAATAATGTATCAATAAATAATTGAATTATATGAAAATTTGTAAGATATTGACATTAGTCACACAAATATATTAATAAATAAAATAAATAAATATTAACAAATTTAAATTTTTTAAATTTTAATTACCAAAAATTATTTAGTATTGTGTTTTTTCGAAACATTTCCCATGTAGTATATAACAATGGTCTAATTTGACTTTGATCAATTATATTGTTAAAACCAACCCAATTTCATCACAACAAATAACATGTACTTATCAAACAAACAACTATCTGACTACCTTCAGTAAAATCTCAGCTAAATTCATCATTGTAGAAATAAGTTTTTTTTGCTGTTTTTCAAAAACTTGGTCTAATTTAACTTTGGACAATTATATTGTAGAAACCATGGTTTGCAAACCCATTTCATCACAACAAATAATATGTGAAGTGATTGTTGAATAACAAGTGTGTGATTTTATTTACTGCTATTTATTATTGTAGAACATTAATACAATTTATGTATTGGTCTGTCCTTGTTGGCCTCCAAAGGCAGAAGAGGTCATTTGCCGTTGGTCTTTTCTCCCCAGTAAACACGCGATGTGATCTTCTATAATATCGACATCGTTATTATAATGCGGTTATCGAATCTACGCCACAAGAGGATTTTAAACTTGCGTGCGCTTGTGTGTGTTACAATACACGCAAAGCTCGCATTGAGTTGTCTCGCGAGACATAAACACGCGCTGTCGGGGGTAATGACATCGTTGAATTTCATGTGAGATACATGTCGTGCGCTGGTGTGTGTTAGCACACATGCAAAGCATAATCAATGACGTCACACGGCGTGAAGCAAACGCGTCGTGCGCTGCGTTGTGTGCGTTGTGTGCTGGTGTGTGTGACCATACAAAGAAAGCTTTACATCAGCGCGCCGTGGCCACTGGCTGAACCGACTCAAGCGGTTTGACTGTTCCTTTGACGAAAGCTAAACTAACCGCATACAAAATGGCGCAATATGTCAGGAATTTGTCATGTATCAAGTTATATTTTCTTTTGTATAATAATTACATTCGTTTAGTTAAGCAACTTGTTCATAGTGATAATTGTAGAAAAGTGTAGAAAAATGACACCGTAAGTATATCATATATTATTTATATAGATATGTAATTACTTCACGATTTTGAATTCCATTTAGTGCATTATATCCTGGGATGAAGAAACGTTATTTTATGTCGATTTCTTTAGATGACAAAGGAGGTAACCAAATAGCATATCTTACAAAATCTGAGGACAATAATAAGGATCGTTTAGCAAGGTTAAAATAATTATTTTACTAAATTAAGACATTAACATATCCATGTGTTCGACATAACCTCACTTCTCTTAAATTAGTCGGTTGAGAAGCGGATCGAGAATGATTGTTTGAATATGTAAGTCACTACAAATATAATAGCTATACAAATATATATAAACAGCAAACACGTATACCATGTTCATATTTATTTCAGAAGTCGTACAAAATTGGAATGAAACGATGAACAATATACAGATCTTTAGACAGGCTCAAATAATGTATGTTTAGGAGCAAATTGAAGATAATGGAGATTTATCTTCTTAATATGTAAGTTGATTCATATATAGTTGCTGTATATATATTATTTGGTAACAAATACATTATATTTATAATTGTTTTAGAAAACCTCTAAAATTGGGAACAGTATGTCATATATGCATGAACTTGATTGATGTATTGATGTATAATGAACTGAAGATAGAATGAATTCAATCAGGTTAAAAAAATGTATGTGCAAAAGCGACTCGAAGACGATTTAGATTTGTCTCCTGAATATGTAAGTTGCTACACATATGGAGTGGTATATATATTATTAGATTCAATAAAACACATTATGTTTCAAATTGTTTTAGAAAACTTCCAAGAAGTACACATATATGAATATCCTGTATCCTCGCATTTGAACTGGCGATAGAATGAAATCAGTCAGTGTTAAAAATGTATATGTAAAAGCGACTTTAAGATGATGGAGATTTGTACACTGAACATGTAGGTAGCTACACATATGGTAGCTGTATATATATATTATATTATATACAGTAAATCACATTATGTTTGAATTTGTTTTAGAAAACTTCCAAAATTTGGGGCAGTATGTCATATGTGCATAATCTGTATCCTGGCATTTGATGCAATGAACTGGCAATAGAATGAAATAATGAAAAATAGGCAGGCTGTTTGATGTATAAGGAAGTGGCGATAGAATACTTATGCAACACTTCACACTTCACGCCCCAAAATAGAATTACGTTCATTAGATATACAACAATTTTTATTAAATATACTGTTATTAATATGTTAAGATTGAATAATTTGTAAATAGTTTTCTAGTATAGTTCATGTTAAAATTTTATAATTTCTAAACTACAATTCTAATTTGTAATATTTAAATATTGTAAAATTTCTTATTATTCACGTAAATAAATGCTTATTCGTACAGAAAAGAATATTAATTGCATTACGTCATCACTTTCAGGTGCTATTACGTCATAACTGAGTCGCCATTTTGTATGACGTCATGACCGAATCGTTTTCATTCGCCAATGACGTCATGACTGGGGTTAACGCCTTACGTCAGACGGTCTTATCATAATAAACAAACATATGTGGGTCAACGTCGATTTTCATGTATCACGAACGCCGCGTGCGCCAGAGACCGAACCTCGATAGTTGTTCGATAGTTACATAAATTTGCGGCCGTATCCATTAAATATCGACGAAAATGAATATGGGGACCGCATGTCACACGACCTAAATAAAATATTGCCACGATGTTGTGACCATATCGCATGTTTACTGGGTCTTTTATTGGGCCATCTTGGGTGCCGCCGCACATGTATCAAACAAACAACTATCTGACTACCTTCAGTAAAAATCCCAGCTAATTCATCATTGCAAAAATATGTTGTTTTGCTGTTTTACAAAAACTTGTCACCTGGTCCGTTTTTGGCAAAGACAGGTTTACCTGTTTGGGAGATACTGAGCAAAAAGTGCTAAAAATCACAGTGCACAAAAAACATTTTGTTTTTGACGATTACTATTACTTCGTTCTACTTTCGATTAACAAAATCACGATAAGACGACCATTGGGAATCTGATATTCCAGCGAATTTCAAGGCATGGTGCGAACGAGAGACCTGACAGAAGTATTGCAGACGCAGTATTTCGCAGCGTGCTAGATGCATACATCGTTATAATATATAAATAATATTAAATTATGCTAATATATATATATATTATATATAAATTATTATAAAAATACAAGGCTAATAGTCCATATTATCAGTTATATAATGTAAAAACTTTGGAAGAAATTATTTGGACTTATTATATTCAATTTATTGAATTATTATATCAAATTCACTGAAAAAATTGATTAAAATACTTAATAAGTTTCTTGGAGATTCGAACTCGAAACCCAAAACAAGAACGACTGCCGCTGCAACCGAAGTCACTTAACGATCTCGACCATCAACGCCAAACAATTGATCGAATTTGGTACAGGTGTTTACAATAACATAACAACAATAACATAATAACAAGTTTTCAAAAATTCCCATAGAAAATACGTGAAATTTACAAAAAGTCGATTTTCTGCTCTCCTGAGCGAAAAATGGACAAATTTTCCCCCCTGTAACCCCCGCTTGAAATTCGCAAGAACCCGAGGAATCGAATGAGCCCACTTTCAACCCCCTGGGTGAACATTTAATATTTTCATATCATCCCCCGGTGACCTTGACTCGAATCATGATGGTTGGTCGGCGAAGAATGTCCTTCCAGCATTAGCCTTCGGAAAAACTTTGTCGCCGTGGCCGAATCGGTTAGAGCGCTAAACCAGACTCTGATCTGAAGGATGCTGGTTCGAATCCGATAGGGATTTTTTATTCGGCAAGTTAAAGGACGAGGGAGATATGTGAAGTTATTGTCAACAAATGTACCAAATTCAAACAGTTGTATACCAGGGATGATGTGGACGAGATCGTTAAATGGCTTCGATTGCAATGGCAGTCGTTCTTGTTTTGGTTTTCGAGTTCAAATCTCCAAGAAACTTACTAAGTATTTTACTTAATTTTTTCAATGTATTTTAAATGAACATTTACAATTCTTCAATTTTTATTTACTTTATAATTAATATTTAATAACTAGGTGTGGTAAATTGATAAAAAACTAGCTTAACCTTACGGTTGAACTTGCTTAACCTGAGTTAGATGGTTACCCCGAACATCTAACTTTGGGGATGCATAACTATCCATGGATAAATATCCACGAATTTTTTTTAACATATTTTACTTGAATATGTAATCATGTTAAATCCATGGATAACTATCCTATTTTATTTATTTAAACCTATTTTACGCAATTTGAATATGATATCAGGTTAAAACCATATTTACGATTTTTTACAACATATTTTACTTGAATATGAAATCTAGTTAAATCCATGGGTTACTATCCACGGATTTTTTCAAACATAATTTACTCAATCTGAAAATAATATTTGTTAATAAAATAAAAAACTTAAATTATTTAAACTGTAAAAAATAACATAATATTAATTATGAATTATTTGAAATAAAAAAATAGTTATTGTGTAATAATTGTTTATTAATCATAAGCAGGTACAAAGTTATAATACATATATTAATTGATTGAATATTATAATTATTTAGTTTTAATTATATTAAATATTTTATAATTTAGTAGTACAAATTACAATAAATAATTTACATAGTATTTTACAGAGACTACAAACTACATACAAAATTACATTAAAGCAAAAGGACTTACTAAAAATAAAGTTTTAAATTATATAATATTATAATCTTATTATATATAGTTATAAATTATGCTAAAATATCTATAAAAATACATAGATCCATAAAAATAACTTAACTTATGATTGAAATATACAAACTAATAATATAACAAGTAATTTACAATTTTCTGCTCGTTATATTTAATATTTTATATGAATTCAATAATTTCAACATACTTGTTGCATTTATATTAGCATTTTATATTTGTAAATTATGTATATGTATATATATATATATATATATATATATAAATTTAAAAATATTATGTTTTCAGCATCCTCTTGACCATTGTAAGGGATGTATCAACAGCCCCGACTGGGATGTACCTTAAAATAATAAAATATCTATTTAGTGACAAAATATTATAAATATTAAATAACTTATTATAAATAGTAAGTCTAAAACGCAAATAGAAAAGTGGAGTTCCTCGATATCAAATACATTTTACACTATATATACACCACTTTTCTAACTGCATATAATAATAAATTAAAAGAAATAAATTATATAAATCGATTTGAATTTTATTCTCAAGGCACAATGCCACTTACAATTATTTATTTTATACAGTCATGGTCTTAAAATATTTCAAACATCTTAAAATTTGAAAATATTTTTCATTTTTCTCAAAATCGCAATTTAAATGGCAATAGCCACTGTTGACGAGTATACTCGTCAATGCACAAAATTTTACAACTTCTACAAGATAAGTATACTCGTCACTATGCTAATTTTTGACACTTTTTCATGGCGTAATTGAATAAAATTTGGCACGTGACGAATATATACGTCAATGAACAAATTCTGTCCACATTTTGCATAGGTAAATGAATAAAAATTCGGGCACTTCATGACGAGTATACTCGTCAATAAAGAAAGTTCTAACATTTTTATACCAATATACTTATAACTACTCAAAATTCCGACACTCTCCATGCCGAGTATACTTGTAAATAAAAGAATTCTGAAACATTTTGTGACGAGTATACTCGTCATTGCAAAAAATACGTCCTCGTGACAAATATACTCGTCAATCAAGAAAGTTCTAACTTTTCAAACCAATATACTCATTACTACTCAAAATTTTTACATTTCTCCATGACGAGTATGCACGTAAATGAACAAGATTCCTAAACCTCTTTATGACGAGTGTACTCGTCATTGCACAAAAATCTGAAATTTTATGACAAATATACTCGTAAATATAGAAAGCTAAATCTAGATAACTAGATAACTTTTTTATGACTATACTTATAACTACTCAAAATTCTGATAATTCTCATTAACGAGTATACTCGTAAATGAACAAAATTCTAGAACATCTTTATGACGAGTGTACTTGTCATTGCAAAAAATTTTGACACTTCTTCATGACAAATATACTCGCCAATAAAGAAAATTCTAGCTTTTGCATGACCAATGTACTCAATCTACTTCACATTATGAACATTCTACTGGAAAATTCTGTAAAAAAAATTCTGGAACATTTATCTTATGACGCGTATTGCTCCAATGCACAAAAAATTACTTCTATGATCATAATCGAATAAAATGATACGAGTAATGTGAACTTGTGTAGAAATGATATACTTATTACTAATCAAATGCATATATAAACAAAATTGTAGAACTTCTTGTTACGAGTATACTCGTCCTAAATTCTGACACCATGACAAATATACTCGTCGATAAACGAAGTTCTGACACTTTTCCATGACGAGTATAATCGTCAATGCACAAAGTTCAGACAGTTTTTCATAACGAGTATACTCGTAAATAAACACAATTCTGACATTTCTCATCTATGACGAGTATACTCGTCAATACACAAAATTCTGATATTTCTACTTCATGAACAGTATACTCACCAATAATAGAAATATGTCGTTTCTCCATGACGTATATACCCGTCAATACACAAAATTCTGGCACTTCTACTTCTTGAAGAGTATACTCATCAATAAATAAAAATCTGTCGTTTTTCCATGACGTGTATACTCGTCACTACGCAAAATTCTATCGTTTTTTCCATGACGAGTATAATCGTCAATATCAGTTAACTGTTATTTTTTTTTTTTACCTCTCACGTAGGTGCACCCTTCCGCCCTCCGGCGTACAGGACTACCCCGGAAACGGTCTGGTCTTCCGGAAAAGCACCCGGAGGAACTGTTCCGTGCCTGCTCTGCACCCGGACGGACCAACTTTATCTATAATTGATAAAGGATCAATTTTGAAAATTCAAAAACTTTTAGAAATATTAGTAGATTAGTTTTTGTAAAAAGATCTGCCAAAGCGCTTCTTCGTAATGTTAAACCAATTTTTTTGGTTCAT